TTCGGTTCCGGTCCAGGTTTTGCCATTTTTTTCAATTTTTATTGAGATGGTGAAAACAGCAAAAATTAACAAATTTGAAGCTGAAAAATTCCGAAAAAAATAATTTATTTTTTTCGATTATTACCATTGAAAATGTTTCGAAACAAGTTTCGGTTAGAACTTATACAAAAATACACCCTTTTGAACGAACTTTATGAAGAAAAAGTCCAAATTAATCATTCCGAAGCATCAAATCCGCAATTTTCCATTCCGAATGCATTACACTCTCAAAAAAGGACATCATGTCTGGAAATGACACATTTTTGACAATATCCGACTTTTCTGTTTCAAAGGGGATTCAAGAATTCAACTTTGGTCGTGTAGTATTACAACCAGGAATAATTAAATAATGAGAAAAATTCAGAAGAAAATTTTTGGAGTTTATCAACGGAGCGCACTTGCTCTTTTCCCATTCTGTCGCTAATTTCCGTTAAATTTTTTGTTCCTTTTTTCTCATTGGAGCACATTTGATCTCTGAAGTGTGTAGTCATTTTTTCAAACCACTATTCCTTTCAAACCATCTTTTCCTTTTTGGAGTCAGAGCCGGTTTGAAAATTCCTGCATTCGATTTTCAGCCCAAAATCATTGAAAATCATTTTAAAACCATCGAGTTTTTGCCAAAAACTTTCAAAAAACCAATATTCTCAGTGGAGCGCAAATGCTGCCCATATTTTCGAATTTTTTTAGTACTTTTTCCGATGTTTTTTGGACCAAAATAAGTTCCAAAGTCAAGAAAAGGAACTAATTCCGATCAGTTCAAAAAGGTCTAAAAACCATTTTCGGGGCCAAATTAAAAATATGCGAAACATTTTTTCGACAATAATAAATTCGTTTTCATCTTCAAATCAGGGAAAATGAGCTGAAAAATCAATTTTCCGCTTTTTCATATCCTTTTGAACCTCAAAACTCCTAGTAGTAATATTTTAAATCACTAATGGAACCATTTTCGGGTCAAAATCAGTTCAAAAAGACGTAAAATTAGGGTTTTGAAGCTTTTTCTGACCTCAATCCCAACTAAAAATCTTTGAAAACGTATCGAATTTCGGGAAAAAGTTTTGGGAAAACTTTTCAGGTCAAAATCCGTTCGAAAAGCCCATTTTTTGCATTTTCTCACTTCAATCTGCATCTTCTCAATGGAGCGCAAATGCTGCTCATATTTTCAGCTCTTTTATAGTACTCTTAACTATGTTTATTGCCCTGGAATCTTTTGAACAAGCTCAAAAAAAAATTTTCAATCTCTAAATTAATTTTTTACGATCAAGTCCATTCAAAAAGTCCGTTTTTTTGCCTTTTCCCACTTCTATTAGCATTTTCTCAATGGAGCGCAAATGCTGCTCGTGTTTTCGGCTCTTTTATAGTACTCTTTCATACGTTTTTCTCCCCGGAATCATTCTTTGAATTCAATTTTTACGGTCGAAATCCTTTAAAAACCCTATTTTTACGCAATTTTTGCCTTTTTCCACTGCAATCCTTGCCGAAAACCTTTGAAAAATGTATAAAATCGCTCGAAAATCCAACAATATACCCATTCCGTGTCAAAATCAGTTCAGAAAAGCCTAAAAAAAAAGCCATTTTTCCTCTCTCAATAGGAATTTAGGCAAAATTTTCGGCTCTTATTATGTTTTTTGAAGTAAAATCGATCAAAACCAGTTCAAAAAGCCCGAAAAAAGCCATTTTCCACCTTCACTCCCTCCAATCCCAGCCAAACACCTATCGAATTTCTCTAGGATCAACAGGAGGAAAGGGGGGACCAAAGAGCCATCGAATGAAATGTTTCTTCTTCTTTTCCGATACACAATGATCGGTGTGCCCCCGGGGCTCTTGCCCGGCGGCACGGCTCTCACATTTATATTACTTCCACTGGCCCCTTCTCTCTTCTCTCTCAATTTCTTGTCCTTTGGGGCTCACTTGTCCTTTTATTAGGTACTTGGCGAGGTTAGTTATCGTTCTGATTAATTTTTTTGATGAGAAAAGTGGACTTCTTTCGTTTTTCTGTTCATTTTTTCGATGAAAGAAGGGGGGCAATTTTTTTCCATAGGGGCCAAAAAATGGTCCCTATAGGGGTTTAGGGTCTTCATTCAAGTATTTATAGACTGGATTAATTTTTTTAACCGGGAAATTGAGGAGAAAAAAATGGACATTTTTTTGGTTTTTTTCTATTCAATTTTTTTGATTGAATTGAAGGTCTTAGATATATTTTAATTATCTTAAACACCCTAAAGTTCGAAACTCAAAATATTGTCCTTGGAGGTTATTTTCTCGGACTGAATAATTTTTTGACCGGAAAAATTGATGAGAAAAAAATGGAGTTTTTTTCGTTTTTTTCTATTCATTTTTTTCGATGAAAAAGAAGGTCTCGGATATATTTTAATAATCTTAAATACCCATAAATTCAACTGGAATTTGTACTTGAGCGCATTTCCTTTAGCCGTTTTTCCTATTCAATTTTTCCGATGAAATTGATGATCTAGGAAATTATTTCATTATGTTAGATACACTAAAAATCGTATAAAAACACAAAAATTTTTGTCCTTGGAGCGTATTTTTCTCGGACTGAATAATTTTTTTGACCGGAAAATTGATGAGAAAAAAATGAACATTTTTTTTGTTTTACTGTTCATTTTTTTCGATGAAAATGAAGGTTTTAGGTATATTTTAATTTTCCCAAACACCCTAAAATTCCATAAGTCTCAAAATTTTTGTCCTTGGAGCGCGTTTGCTCTTTCATTAGGTACTTTTTCAAGGTTAGTTATCGGCTTTGATTATTCTTTGACCGGCAAATCGATAAAAATATCTGGTAAAAAAAGGCTTTCTTTTTCAATGTAAATAAGGACCTGGGATAGAATTTTTATCAGTACAGATACCCCAAAATTCAATAAACTAATATTTCCTTTTTTTAAGGTACTTAATATGGCTAGTTATAGTCTGGACTAGTTTTTTTCTTGTCTCAAAAAGCAGTTTTTTTAAGAAAAAAATATCGAAAAAGGGCGAATTTCATGACACAAGCTGGTTATTTTGAAAAGCCAAGTGGCCCCTTAAGGGTGAGGACTTGATCCAGTGAGAGTTAATGCTAGAAAACGCACCAAAAATCGATTTTCAGACTTTTTTTTTTTGTTTTTATGGCATTTTTGAATCAAAATGAAGGTCAGGACCCTTTTTGGACCATATTACGATTTTTTTCGAAAACTGGAAACAATTCCTCAGTTTTATTGGATCTTCCTGTTCTATTATGCCTTTCCTTGGAAGTTTAAAAAAATTATTTTAAAAAGGTAATTTTGGAGCATTTCAAGCCAAAAAAAGCTCTGAAAACTTTTTGAGCCATTCCAACTGCGGCCGTGTTTTTTATTTTTGAAAGTTCGATCCTCAAAAAATCGTTTTTTGAATGATAAGAACCATTCTTCGCAATATTTGTCCCGTTTCTCGTTTTTGAATGGGATCGTCAACAAAAATTCAAGGTTTTATGACCTTTTCTACCCAAAAAAATGGCTATTTCTTACTTTTATCCTGTTTTAAAAATTTTTAAATAGAAGAAAAACCTTATTATTCGAAAAAATTTTTTTTCACATTCCTCTTCCAATAAAATTCTAGATCTCAAAAAAAGCTCTTCCGTTCGAATTTTCTAAAAAAACCGACGAAAAAAAGGCCCGTTTTATTGGAAAACGGCCAAAGATTTATTGTTCTTCTCTTCTTCTTCTTTTTTTGAACTTTTTCCTGTCTTGATTTATTTTTCTCAACTTTTTTTCTTTTCTCGCCATGCTCGCCACTTTTTCGTGAATCTTCTCTCTTTTTTTTGGTTCTTATTTCTCTCAGAAACTTTAGAAAAATATAGAAAAAGTCATACTTTTTTTCAGTTTTTTTGAAGGTCTTCGGTTCTATGACTGAGAAAAATATTATTTTTAAGCCATAAATTGAAAAAAATGAATCCGTCCGCACTTTCCAGAAGTCAATTTAAAAAAATTTTTTTCTTTTTAGAAAGGTTTTTATGCCCTAATTATTTATGAAAAATTCGATTTCAAGCCAAAAAAATTGAAAAAAATCAAACCGTCCGCACTTTACAGAAATTCTGTATCATTAGTATCATTTTCTCCCAACAAATGGGAAAAAAATAGAAAAACGTTTTTTTCAATTTTAGAAAGGTTTTGGGTGCTATAAGTTGATTAAAAAAACGATTTCAAGCCAAAATTCGAAAAAAAGCGAATCGTCCGCACTTTCCAGCAATTTTACACTATTAGGATCATTTTCCTTCAAAAAGAAATTCAAAAAAATCATAAAAAAATATTTTTTTCCGTTTCGGAAGGTTTCAGGGGTCCCAAAGGTTGAAAAAAACGGTATCAAATCAAAAAAAGATACAAACTTTTAACCGTCCACACTTTACAGAAATTCCACAATTTTAGTATCATTTTCCCCCAAAAAAATCGGTAAAAAAATAGAAAAAAAGTACTTTTTTTCAGTTTTAGAAAGGTTTTAGGTGCTAGAAGTTGAATAAAAAAATGGATTTCAAGCCAAAACTTGAAAAAGCGAACCGTCCGCATTTTCTAGAAATCTCACATTTTTTTCATTTTTTTCTTTCTCTTAAAAATATCAAAAGCTACAGAAAATTTCTTTTTTCAACTTCAGGAAGGTTTCGAGGCTATATGAGCAAAACAAGAGAATTCTCACCTAAAATTAGAAAAAATCGAACCGTCCGCCCTTTCCAGAATTTTCCGGAAAAATCAAAAAAATATTTTTTTCTAGTTTAGAAAGGTTTCGTGGTCCTATGAGTTGCAAAAAACGATTTTAAGCGAAAATTTCGAAAATCCTAACCGTCCGCACTTTCCAGAACTTGCCTTATAAATTTCTCCCCTTCAAATTAGGTCAATTTCCATTTCATTTCCATCACTTTCCCGTCTCAACGCCATGATATTATCTTTCGCGGATTTTTCCAGAAAAATGACGTCATTTTTCAGAATTTTTCTGACGTCATGCCCATCCAAGATTTCGACAAATATGACCTGCTCGGTGTCGTCGCCGTCTGGATCATCTTCTTCATCGTCATCGGTCTGATTTCCGTCACCTGCCTCAATTTCTGCTGCATTCACAAGAACGATGACGTCACCGTCCTGGAAAAGGTTCGTTTTTTCGAGATTTTTTTTTATTCCAGTTTTTCGGGAAGGTTTTTTTCCTGAAATCTTATCAATAGAACTGCACACAAGGTTTCCAAAAGCGATATGAATACTGAAAAAAATGGGCACAAAAGGGTCTAAAAATTGGAAAAAAATTGAAGAAAAATCTAGAAAAACCGATTCGAGTTTTTTTGTAATGGTTTTCCTAAAAATGAAAAACACCTTCAGAAACTATAACTTTTTGAAAAAATCAATCTAATTGGTTCAAATTCGTATAAATTTGCGAAAAAAACGACCGAAAAATCTGAAAAAAATGACGTCACATTTAATGCATTAAAATCAATAATGACGTCAGATTTTTTGAAAATTTCAATTTTTCTAAGAATTGTTCAAAATTAAATCTTATAGGAAAGGTAAAATGAGCTTACACACTTCCCAAAAAAAAAAAAATGGACAATCAAAAAAAAAGTAGGAGAAAAAAATAGCCGCAATCTTTCAATACATATGCGCTCCATGGATAAATTTTTAAAAAAACCTTATTTTTTTGATAATGAATGAATTGAACCTAAAGACTCACTCACTACAAAAATTCTGAAAAAGCTGCGAAAATAGCTAGAAAAAATGGCCACGACCAGCTGAAACATATGCGCTCCACGGATAAAATTTTCAAAAAGCTGATTTATCGACTATAAAAAGAAATTGAACCTAAAACCCTCCCAACAAAAATCCTGAAAAAAGCTGCAAAAAGAGCTCAAAAAATAGCCGTGATCAGTTGAAACATGTGCGCTCCATGGATAAATTTTCAAAAAAGCTGATTTTTCTTCAAAACTTGGTTCTTTTCGTCTTTCGAATAGCTTTCACAGTCTAAAAATCAATTTTTTTTCCAGTGGGGACATCGAAAACGACTGGGGATCCGAATGGGACCTCATCGGCCTTCGGTGATCGCCCGCCAAGTGGCATTGGAGGGCTTCAAGCGGGACATTTGAGAAACCTTTTTTTCTCTGTCTCTCCATTTTTTCCTCACTCTTTCACTTCAACGAGATGTGATTCCGTCTCAAAATCTTCCTGGATTTTGGGCTATTTTTCGCAATTTTAAATTGTATTTGTACACATTTTGATCGATTAATGGGTTCTCATGGCAATCATTTTTTATATCAGTTATTATTGAATGTACTTTTTTTGATTGTGGTATAAAAATTTGAAAAAAATCGACAAGAAACATGAAAAAAAAGTGCGAAAGTTGTCAGACGCGTCGCGGTCGCGTTGCGGTCAATTTTGGGAATTTCTGGTTACTTTTGGTATCTTTCGAAAGGTGGTGTTATTCTCAATCTAGTGGTATATGATTGAAACGAAAATTTGAAAATGACTTTTGAAAGCGCTGTCAGGAAACATGAGAAGTTTTCAGAACCGTAGGTCGCGTCGCGGTCGCGTGGCGGTCGATTTTGAGAGTTCCTCGTATTTTTGATATCCTTCGAAAAATAATGTTCTTCTCAATCTAGTGGTATATGATTAAAATCAAAAATTTGATGAGCTAAAAATCTGGGATATTATGCATCACAAAAAAATCGTGGCGCAGTGGCCAAGGAGATCTTAGGGTCCCTGGTTCGACTCTCGTCCAGGTTTTTGCCGTTTTTATCGACCCAATAAGGTTCCAACTCATCATCAGACTCAAAATTCATCTTTAAGATTCTAACAGGTTTCACTTTTAAAGCCGAAGAATATTTTAAAAATCGTTAGACGCGTCGCGGTCGCGTTGCGGTCTTTTTTTTTGAAAAAACCTGGTCATTTTTGGTATCATTCAAAATGTGGTGGTTTTCAAGCTTTTTTGGACGGGAAAAATGAAAAAAATAGAAGAAAAATGAATTTTAGAAGCGTTGAACATCTTCCGAATTTCCAAAACAATTTTTTGAAGGTTTTGCAGTTCTGAAATAGAGAAGTTGGCGCCAAAAAGGTCCTAGAGACACTGGTTCGACTCTTGTCCAGGTTTTTGCCATTCTCTATCAATCCGAGAAGGTCCGAGCTCATGATCAAACTCAAAATCATTTTTTAAGCTTCAAATGGGCTCTCAATTTTGACGCGTCGCGGTTGCGTTGCGGTTGTTCAAATGACTTGATACTGAACTTTCCTCAGGATTTTTTTTAAAATCGAAAGTACGAGTATTTTTCATATCAAATCGATCCGAGAAGGTTCTAACTAAATATTGAGTTTAAAATATATTCAAAACAATTTTCCTCCATTCTCTTCCGACGCGTCGCGGTCGCGTTGTTTTACCGGATAGATTAATATTAATCTATCCGGTAAAATTCGAAAAATGTCACTTTGTCGTGATCGATTGATACCAAAAACTTCAAAATTAGTTCAAATCAAAGGAATTTACTGTTTTTGAGTCTTTGCAAGTGATCCCTTTAGGTTTCTGATAGGAAATAGCTGAAAATTTCGAAACTTTTTGGGCTTTTTTCAGTTCACAAAAACTTCAAATTCAAAAAATAACCAACCAATCAACTCGAGTACCATCAGACGCGTCGCGGTCGCGTCACGCATATTTTTGGCTTCATTCCAAGACTTTTTTGCATTCATTTCGTGCTCTCAAACCCAAGAAATACCATGAAATTTATTGAAAACAGCGGGAAACCATCAAATAAAGACGTCTTGGGGTAGCTCGCGTCTGGATATTTTTCGTATCCGGTATTTCCAATCGGAAACGAATCTCCGGACCGGGATCGCTGTGTTGTTGATACAGGCATATAAGGTGCAGGAAGCCAGGAAAGCCGTTAGAATCAGCAGGAGACCGATAATTCGTCTGAAAAAGATAAGTTGCAACATTTTCCTTCCATCATTTTAAAGCCGATTCAAGGCTAGCTAAGAGGGCGTGGCCTGTCTGCGCTCTCCACGAGTCAGGCACTGTCTCGTGCATTATCGCGTCAGGACCCTTTCTCGATGGCTCAAGCTGTTTTATCTATTTTTCTAACCTACTAGAATGGCATTTTCGAACTCAAAAATGTATAGCTCTCTTAAAAATGCCCCAGTTAAGATCCAACAAAATTTTTCAGATTCCTAATCATCAGCTCCTGCCCTTAATTTTGATTTTGAAGCTCGAAAAATCGACCAATCAGACCTCGAGCGAAAAAAAGTCCTAATCAAAATAATCCAATTCAAAGTTCTTTTACTTATTAATTTACCAGATGAAGGTACTGGACATGGACTTCGGTAAAAAAAAAAATCCGGATATTTCTTAGCGATTCTAGTGGCCACTTCAGTAGCTTCAGCACTCTTAAGTGATCCCCAGAATTGCTCAAAAAACGTCCCGTCCCTGTTACCGAAATCCGAGAAATTAGAAAAAATATTCAAACCTCTGATTGCAGCAAGCTTGATCACAGCTCTCATCGCCACAAATTGCCGGCTTTTCGAAATAAAAAATCGTCGAATTTCGTGATGTCATTGTAGTGAAAATGGTAGGAAATACCTGGAAAATTGAAAATAAAGAGCGACTTGCTGAACAAAAATGACGAGGTTCAAAAATTTTCGTATTTTTAAAAAGTAACTATTTTCTAGAACATCTGAAGTGGCATCGAGTTCCAAGTAGCTTCTTTAGGGTTTTTGTGAATTTTCAAAGGAAATTTTAGCCGTTCACTCACTCAATTCCACTGAAAAACGGCCCGTTTGGAGCGGGAAAAAAATATAAATGTCGCGATTTTTCAAGCTTGAAAAAAATCAAATTTTAGTCTTTTTCCAGAAAAAAAAAGGTAATAGGGATGAAAAATGAACAGGAATCCAGTAAAAAAAAATAGTGGAAAAGTCGAAAAAAGCCAAAGGTAACAATCTCGGACATTGTTAACGCGAAACGGACGTTTCTGGGCGATTCTAGGGATCACTTATGGGTTCTGAGGCTACTAAAGTGGTCCCTAGAAATGCCCCGACCCGTCCGGAGCACGCCCGTTTCGCTCTGGGCGATTCTAGGGATCACTTAAGAGTTCTGAGGCTACTAAAGTGATTCCTAGACGTCCGGTTCACGTTACCAAGGTCCGAGATGGTAAACGATGATCTGCGGTCAAAGATCAAAATCAAACATTCAAAAAGTGCGTCTACTCGGACCCCGGTAACGGAGACTGGAGGTGTCTAAATGATTCTAGGGATCACTTAAGAGTTTTGTCGCCCCTAAAGTGATCACTAGAAACGAACAGACACGTCCGGTTCGCGTAACCAAGGTCCGAGTAGTTTTACCAAAAAATGATCTCATTTTAAAATTGGACTTCCAAATGAAACATGATTACTAGGTGCAGCTTTTCCCGTTGATTCCGAATCTGGGCTCAGAAAAAGTCTAGGAGCTTCCAGAAAAAAGTTATAGCCCTTGACATTGAACAAACATAGTAATAGAGCTTTTCAAAAATTGAGAAAGTTTGAAAAATTCCATTTATTGGCTTAAAACTTCATCAATTAGAAGCAATTATTTTCGATTTTTTTCGGAATGATCAGACCAAGATTTTAATGAAAAAAACTGAATTTTTTTCAATTTTTTTCAAAAACCTCTTCAGCGAATTTTTGAACTCAGGTTCCAAATCATTTCTAATTTTTTTCATTCCTATGAAATATTTCAGATCTAAACTTCAAAATTTTGAGTATCTAAATGATCCAAGACCATTATCAGAACAAAAAAGGGCTTTAAAAATTTTTTTGAACCCGTAAAACCTCAAGAAACAAAGAGAAAACAGAAGGAAACCGAGATTTTGGAAAGAAATTCAATACTTTCAAGGTCGAAGAGAAAAAAAATCAATGAGTGAGGAAAAAATGACGGCTCAAGGAGCCAGGAGCGCCGTAAAATGAGCCGTAATAATTTTTTTGATGATTTGAAAAAAATTTTGCAAAAATATGTCTATGTCCCTTCGGAAATGACGTCATCAAGGTGAGTTTTCTAATTTTTTTCTAATTTTTTCTGGCGCGGACGATTTTTAAAATGCGGACATTTCGAAAAAGCCCTATGAATTTTATTACTTTCCAAAAATCGATATCTATGTCCCTTTGAAAATGACGTCATAAATTTAAGGTTTTTTTCCATTTAAATCTTAATTTTTAGTGCGGACGGTTTTTGAAATGCGGACATTTACGAAAACTCCGTAAATTCGATTATTTTCGTATAAAAGTTTGATTTTTAAAATCGATAACTCTGTCTCTCTGCAAATGGCGTCATCAAGTTGGATTTTTTTAATTTCATTTTCATTTTTTTTTTCTCAAACGCGGACGATTGTAAAATGCGGACGTTTTGAAAAATTCCGAAATTGATCTAAATTTTTACAAAATTGATAACTATGCCCTTGCACGATGACGTCATCAAGGTAATTATTCCGAAATTTTTTTTTGCGCGGACGATTGTAAGTAAAACGCGGATATTTTTGGAAAACCCGTCTATTTGATGATTTTCGTTAAAACCGATAACTACATTTCTTTCAAGATGACGTCATCAAGTTGATTTTTCATTTTTCAATTTTTTTTTTGTTGTGCGGACGATTGTAAAATGCGGACATTAGGTAAAACCCGTTTATTCGATAATTTCGTATGAAAATTCAATTTCAAAATCGAAAATTATGTCCCTTTGAAAATGACGTCATCAAGGTGAGCTTTCTATTTTTTTGAATTTTTTTGCTTGGACGATTTTAAAATGCGGACGTTTTCAAAAAAATTTAATTTTTTTGCGAATTTTGATGATCTCACTACTTTTCATGATAAATTATTGTATTTTTTTCATCAAAATCCTTTAAAAAAATAAAAGCAATTTAAACCTTTTTCGCTTTTTTTGCTGATTTTCGTGAAATACCATTTATTTACAGGTATGCTTGGAAAGTACGTACAATAATTCAAGAACAGCATTGCTTGAGAAATTCCCAGCAGCCCTTGAAGCAGCTCCAGACGCAGTACAAAAACGATCAGAGCCACGATTGTTCCGGCAAAAAAACGACGAGGCGTCTGGAAAAAAATCTCGAAAATGCGAACAGTTTTGAAAAATTTTAAAAAAACATTTATTTCTAACACAGCATTTGAAAAAAAGATCCACTTAATTATGTAGTTCAACTGAAAAAGTGACCTAATCTTCATAAATTTCAATACTTTCGAAAGACGTTTTCCACTCAATTTTCGACAAGAAATCAATCGAAATCTATAAATTTTCATTTTTTTTTCATCCCTCCAAATTCTCCATGGAGCACAAAAGTCTTACATATCAGGGCCTCTTTTTTCACATTTAACAAAACACTCTGAAAATTCTACTTCAAGCCATGAATCAAGCTGCTTCAATTTTTTTTTTTGAGTTTTCGATTGGGAAAAAAATTTGTCCATGGAGCGCACAAGCCCATCTTGAAGCGGCTATATTTTCCAAACGACTCTTTTTGAGTTAGAATCATTAAAATTTTTCCAGCTTTCATATTTTTGAATGGCATGCTGACTCCGGATTTAGGGTCAAAAATGATTGTCCATGGAGCGCAAAAGCCCATCTTTACGTGGCTATTTTTTCCAAATCAAAAAATCTTCTAAAACTCCCATTTTTTTAGTGTTCAACGTAAATTTCGCTCATTTTCCTGTTTATAAAAACCATATTGAGTTTTGAAACCAATTTCCTGTTTTTGAAACCGAGCTCTAGCTCATCCACCGGCTTATAAAAACTACATCAAGTTCTACTCAGGGACCTAAAAATAAAATGTCCATGGAGCACAAAAGCTAAAACTCTAGCAACTATTTTTTCTGAACTCGAAACATTTTTTTCAGTGATAAAAATGAGGTTTATTCCGTTCAAAAAAAAGGAAAAAAAACCTCTCATCGCAGCACTTCGCATCGCACGGAATATCGGCACATACTGGAGGTCGTTCATAGTCGACAGGTCCATAGGAATCGGTTGGGAGGGCAAATTTCGGGTTGAACACAAATTCTGTGGCATTTTCTTGAGTTTCAGCACAAAATAAAGGTAGAACAATTAAGATTATGGCGATTGGGGTCATTTGAATGGAGATTTGTTGAGAAAAGTGTAAAGATGGGGACAATTGTGTGTGTGTGTTTTGGGTTTAAAGTGCGCGGCTGGCCGAAGGCGTCGAGTTTAAAAAGTTTAATTAATCAGGGGGAGATCAAAGAGAAGGAGAAGTGGTCACTTCAGGGACCAATTGTAAGAAATTATTTTAAAAAATAGTACCCAAAAATCCGGAAAATGATATCAGAAATTAATCCTTGAAGGGATCGCTTGAAAATTTATTTTCCATTTCTTGGTACCTTAACTGGTCAGCTAGATAGGGTTTTCAAAAAAAAAGTATAAATATTGCTTAAGGGACCACTCTAAAAAAACCCTTTTCAAAAAAACTGATGGGAAAAATTAAAAATAAATATTACTGATCACTTAAAGGACCCCTTGAAAAGAAGATACTCCTTGAACTTTAGTTCTAGAATCTTTGAAATCAAATTTTTTTGAATTAGAAAAAAATCGAATTTCCCAAAAAGGAAAGTAATAAACATTATTCGATGTAAAGTCTTACTTACGGAATCTAGAAAAAAATATCAGAAGACCATTTAAACAAGAATTAAAACGGGAATCTCACAAATCCGAAAATTTTCAAAACTATCAAACTCAAAAAAAGGAAAAATATTTTATTCCAAGCAATGAAGTTCAAAAAAAAAATGGAAAGATCATATAATGGACCCGCTGCCGTGTGGGGACGTGTGAGAAACTTCAAAAATACAGGAAAATTTGAAAAATCATACAAAAATTGGGAAATTTCGTCAAAAGGACACTTCCTCGTCGTTGTCCGACGCCACGGCCATTTCGTCGTCGATTCTGAAAAAAAATAAAAAGGAAAATTAACAAGATAATGTTGGGAGATAATGAGAAAATCGAGAAAAACATCCTTAACGTTTCAAAGTTAAGTCAGCAAAAGAAAAAACAAAAAAACAAAAAACGGGGATGGGAACCGAACCAGAGACTCATTTCATGGAATTCAAAGGGTTTAGCCGCTTGACCAAGCGCGTAATCTTCCAATTTATGCAATTTAGGTTCGCAAAATAGAGGATCATGTCCAGCAGAGGGTCAAGAAAAGCAAAAAAAGCTCAAGTTTCTTAGTCGAGCGGCTAAGCGGCCTGTCTCCGAGAAAAGGGTCCCAGGTTCAATCCCGGTCCACAGTTTTCCATTTTTGCAATTTTCTTAGTCAAACTCTCAAACTTTACTTGGACCTAAAAGCCTTCAGATTGAGTCTAGAGCAGAAAATGATTTTATTTCTACGATGATCAAGTGGCTAAAACACCTTGCTTCCTACAAAATGGGTCTCAGGTTCGACTCCTATCCACGCTGCTTGGATTTTTGTCATTTTTAAATAAACATATTTTCAAGCCCGATCCCACAAATGAAAAGCTCAAAAATCCATGAAAGTTGTGATAGTCAAGTGGTTAAGAGTTTCCAATCTAAGAAAATCACTCCCTGGTTCGATTCCTTTCCAGAAAAAGAACAAAAACGAACGGCGTATTTCCAGATTCTCCGGAATCCTTGTTCATGAGAGCCATCTCCGCGTCTTGAGCCTTGCCGATCTCGCGGAAAAGTCGATTTCCTTCTTGGCAGATCTGAATGAATTGCTCAGCTTATGCAAACAACACTGTAGTCTCTGAGAAACGAGTTAAACGCTCTTATTCTAAACTGAAAAAGTCAACAAAAAAAAATCGATTTTTCAAATTTCACGAATTTTTAAGTGTCCTCTAAAGGGGAGCGCTCTTTTTTAACTCGCAAATTTGCGGAATTCAATTAAAATTCTCAAGTTTTACGATACTCCGAGTGACCTCTAAAGAAAAATTTCCTCCTGATTTATATGACTACTTAGTAATTGTAGAAGTGAATTAAATTTCACAATCCTAAAGCTATTCTTCAGAGTTCTTCTAAGTGAGCCCTTGAGTGCAAATTTGAAAAAAATGCTAAAATTACGAGAAAATGAGCCTCTGACTTTTAAATTTTATCAACAGTTCCGAAATTCCAAGTGATCCCTGAAGGGAAATTCCTTCTCATTCACTTTATCGAAACTGAAGGAGCCGCTACAGAAGTAACGTCGATTTTTAAGCCCCTCTCATTTTTCCAAGTGGTCCCTTGAGCGAAAATTTAAAAGAAAATTGCACTTTTCAGTAACCAAAAGACCCCTAAAGGGCTTACCGAGTCGTGTTCCAAGTGGTCTCTTAAAGGATCAGGAAGCCTATCATTTCAGAACTAAAAAAGTCCCTATAATAATACAGCCCTTCTGGAGTTCTTTCAAAATCCTAAGTGATCCCTAGAGCAATTTTTTTATTTCCAAGTGATCCCTCAAGTACTTTCCAACCCCCAAGGGTCCCCTGAAGGGCTTACCGAGTCGTGTTCCAAGCACCGATTCGCATAATCCATCGCCTTCTCCCAGTTTTTCTTCCGATAATAGTGATTTGCCAGGAACGCCACCGCATAGACCACATTTTCCTCCATGTTCTGAAGGAAAAAAAATTTGAATTAGATCCTAGAAATCTGATATTCTACCGTAAGACGATCGTAAGTGACCAGGTAGACTTCGAAGGTTTGGGCCGCCTTTTCGTCGTCGCTAATGTTCTCATAAAGCCTGAAAAGATGATTTTTTTCTCGAGCTAATAAGGGAATAATTACTTGGCAAGTTGCCAGAGGGCTCCGCCTTCGATATCTCCAAAAAGATAGGCTCCCGAGAAACATTTCTCGGCGTCGTAAATCCGGTTGACTTTTGAGTAGACCTCACCAAGCGCCACCAACATTCGAGAATCGTGAGGTCTGGAAATAGTTTTTTCAGAAAATAATCATGAATTTTTGGTATAGTTCGTTTTAGGGACTAAAAAAAGTCTTTTATAGACTAAAAAAATTCAGTTCAATGACTGAAAAATTGAATAAAAAGACCACATGAAGTTTTCAAAAAAATCTATTTTTTTAGTGACTAAAAAAACTTACGTTAGTGACTGACAAATCTATTCTGGTGACTAAAAATTTTTTTGTGTCAGCTTCAACTTAAAATTAATTTATTACACTACTTTCAAATCCCGTCTTTTTTTTTGCAACAAGTGAGAAAATTTTAAATGGCGACTATAGTAGTCAAATAGGTGGCCACTTAAGGAATTAAAAATTAGTGGCCACTATAGAGGTCTAAGTGCTACTACTAGACCACTAAAATTTTAGTGGCCAATTTAGGGGTCAATGGATCAACATAACTGGTCCAATCTGTTTGTTTTGAAATTATCAGAGTTACTGGAAAGAAAACTAGATTAAAAACTACTGAAGTGGCCACTAAAACGGAAAATAGTGGCCCCTTTAGTGTCCTCTCCAAGTATTCCTTGGCGAGCCTCTACAGTGGCCACTAAAAAAAATTGTTCCAGTTATTTTTAGTTGTCCCCCAGGCTTAAAAACTAACGTTCCCACCGTTGTTTTTAAATCTTAGAAGTCCCGCCCATCTCCTGGAGCAATAAAGTTTAGTGATTGACCGTATTTCAACTCAATTATCTTTCAAATAAATAAATGTGAAGAATTTGTTTAAAATGATGTGTTCTAACGTTTCATTTCCTCGTCATTCCACGTTTCATGGTCAGAATAAGATTCGGAAAAGTACGAATGAGACAGTATTATTGTGCAGGTTTTAAGGACGTATCGATTATCCAAAAAACTCTGAAAATGACAGTTCAAAACTGATTTTCTTCTCGCCAAATGCCTCGATTCATCGATTCATGGATTTTTTCAAAAACTTCAACTTTCCTCCTTCATTTTTATGTATTTGCCGCAAAGATGGGGAAGAAAAAAGGGCGCGCCGTAGCGCAACAGGTTGTGTGCCTGTCTACGGTCCACAGGGTCACAAGTTCGATCCTCGCCCTGACCCAACCAAGGGGTTTAAGAAATGTTGGTAGTGGGAAACCACGACTTCATAATCCCCAGCCGTCACACACAAGGACGGATATGTCACTGGAGCCAGTCCACTGATTATCATCAGGATAGGACCTCGGCTAATCGACTTGGGGCGCCGACGCCGCTCAAGCGGTACAAAGGCGTAGGGAGAAGAAGAAGAAGAAGAAGAAGATGGGGAAGGAAAAAAACGAAATTCTGTGAAATTGCAAGGAAAAATTCGAAAATGCGACAAAAAGTTTCAAAATTCATTTTTTAGAGACCCTTAGCCTCGATTAACCCTAAAACTCAATGTTTTATCGACTTATTGATTTTTTTAAATTTCAACTTTCATCCTTCCTTTTTTTCATGTGTTCGACGCAACGTTGGGAGAAAAAACCAAATTTTTTTGTGCGATTTCAAAAAAATATTCAAAAAAATTCATTTTTAAAGACCATTAGCCCTGATTAACCTTAAAAACTCAATTTTTTTGATCGAAATATTAACTTTCATCCTTCCTTTTTCAAAGTTGCGGAAAGAAAAAAACAAAAATTTTTTTGTGCAATTTCAAAAAAATATTCAAAAAAATTCCTAGAGACCATTAGCCCTGATTTACCCTAAAAAAACTAGTCATTTTTTTGATTTATTGATTTTCTTCAAAAATTAATAACTATTTTCTTACATTTTTTTCATGAGTAACTATGTCCATTTCAATTTGAAAATTTCACGAAAAGCTCCAGAATATTCCACTTTCAAACTTATTTTGTACTCGCCAAATGCTTTGCTTCAATCTCACTCTTGTTTAAAAAAACGCTACAAACCCTCAATTTTCCAACTCACTTGCACTTCTGGGCCTGTTGATAGTAGTACAGGGAATAGCTGGGCATTTTCAAAATGTCGTAGAGCTGTCCGAGACCGTACCAGCCACGATAGTCCGCCGGGTCGACCTCTGGAAAAAGCGTCCGTATTTTACAGATTTCGTGGAGGGTCAAGGGAACCGATGGCTTTTCGATAGGCGACACAGGCGGCCGAGTTGTTCTTGATCTCCATGAATTCGTGACCAATTAGTACCCAAATCGAAGCGACTCCAGGGTTCAATCTGTTGATTTTGTTCAGTTTATTGGGTTATAGTTCATTCGCCGCGACTTTACACTTTCTGCCTGTCTGCGTCTCTCTGTTCTCTCTCCGAAAAGGCCAGAAAAATATGAAAAAGGCGCGGTAAAATGAAAGAGTCGCCGAGAGACGAGGAGGGCGCAGAGGAAAAACAGAAACTTCAAGTCGCGAACAACCGGGAATAAAGAGCGAGAGATTTTACGTTATAAAAATTCAGAATAGGTCCCTTTTTAACTAAAAATTAAAAAGTTACAATGATTCAAGCGCCTGAAGTTTCCGATCGATAACAAATTAGTTTTGATCATTATCATTAGAGCGCACTTAACCCCGAAAAATTTAAAAATGTAAAAACTACAAATCGCTATTTTTTTATCCGTGAAGCGCACATCCCAAATAACAGGCGTTTTTTTCTCAGCTCAATTTTTCTACTTTTTTTCCTCATTTTTTTATCAAGTTTTTTTGAAAGGCAACAAAAAAATACCCACTAAAAATAAGAAAAATAAAATTTTTACAAAACTTGAAAAATTTATAGTTTTTTTATCCGTGGAGCGCACATGCTGAGAAGACCGCGGCTAATTTTTCCAAGCTCGCTTTTTTCTCACGTTTGCTTCTAATGCTTCTAATGCTACTTTTTTTTCAAACCCATCTCAAAGCCCTCTGGAAATACTTTATGACCTGTTCATTTTCTTTGAAATTCGATAAAATGAATGAAAATACCCATTCAGAAAATGAAAAAATAAAATTTTCACAAAAAAGCTCAAAAATGAAAACTCCTATTTTTATCCGTGGAGCGCACATGCTAAAAAGACCGCGGCTATTTTTTCCAAGCTCGTTTTTCTCACGTTCGCTTCATTTCTAATGCTTCTAATTCTACCTTTTTCTTCAAACCCACCTCAAAGCCCTCTGGAAATACTTGATGGCCTGTTCATTCTCCCGTCGGACCGCGTAATAATTGGCTTAAAACTTGCAATATAATCAATCAATATTTGATAGAAACCCACCAACAACACAGCAAGTTTCCCACCGGAAACGATGTGTTTCAAATAAAGCTAGAGCCAATTTCGATAACGACGTTTTGTCGGACTTAATTAACTAATTAGTTGATTTTCGATTTAAAACTAACTCGAATGTACAAAGAATCGCTGAACAAGTGGAGTCCCTTGATTCGATAAGGGTCCATGGCGCGGATTTGCTCGAAATTCGAGATCGCCTGGTCGTGGTCTTTAAAAATTAACGGGGTGAAGTATTGAGAATTAAAAATGGCCGCATTTGGAATGGCTAGAGGCGTTGCGGTGCGATGCGGCTTTAAAAATAAGGAACACGGTAAATCACATAAACTCGCATGCTGAGCAGGGTAACCCCGCCGTGCTAACACGGGGTCTCCGCGGGTGCCCCCGTATTAAACCCGTATAAGCCCAGCTGATAGAACTTTTGGCACTTTTTAGCCCAACTGAGACCCCGCTTTAGCCCAGCTGGGTTACCTATTTTTCTTACACCCGTTGTTCCCCCGTTTTAGCCCAACTGAGACTAAAATAACCTCAGAAACACGGGTTTAATACGGGTACACCCGTTGAGACACCTGCTCAGCATGCGAGAAGTTCCATGGTCAGCAAGATCAGACACATCGTCATTGAGCCATTCCAAAGGAGGCCGCATTTGGAATGATTCAAAGCCGTTTTTTCGAATCTTACTGATACCCGTTCACTTACGCAAGGCACAACTACCAACAAACTCTTTTAAACTCCACGTTCTATCTCTGAGCCGCATTTGGAATGGCTAGACGCGTTGCGGTTGCCTAGCGGCTCATTAAAATTGAACTGGCTCTTTATGCAAGTTTCGACTCTTCTACTCCACTTGATTTAAAAATAGATGCTAATACCGCATTGGGGACGACTGGACTCATTTTCATCTAAACGTTACGCGACCGCAACGCGGTGAGCCATTCCAAATGCGACCACAGCTTTTTCAAGTGTCACTGGATTCAGTCTACATATACAAGTCTCAACTATTCTACTCTAATTGGTTTTGAAAAAGATTCCAATACCGCATTTGGAATGACTGAACTTCCTTTCATTGAACCGCTACGCGACCGCAACGCGTTGAGCCATTTCAAATGCCGCCCAATCAGAAATTACCGTGTCGATGATTGGAACAAGCGGCGATTTCGGCGATAATGAACGGCATGTTGGTCATTCCCCGCTTCACCAACACTTCAGCCTTCGTTATCGCCAACATGTCCTAAATGATCGCAAATTACAGATTTTTCGGCTTCTTACTGATGGGAAATAATAAAAATTCAAACTGATTACTGTTTATCCTCTAAAAAATATTGAGAAAGTTAGCCACGCAATTTCCCTCAATAAAGCTCTCCGAAAAAATATCTATATTTTAAAAGTTAGCCTTGGAGCAAACAAACACCTTCTCTACCGGCTATTTTTTCCAGGCTTTTTCAACGACTTCTCAAGGCCCAACAAAAAATCTGCAGAACAAAAATCATCGAAAGGAATCCTTCAAAAATTAAAAACTTGAAAATTAGCCTTGGAGCACAAAAATCCAGCTCTTCGCGGCTATTTTTCCTACTAGGCTAATACAAAAGTGGGAGCTTCTTGATTCCTCAAAAAATGATCTCTGTGGTCTAGTGCGATTTTTTTTCTGATTGAAATCATGGTTTAGCCTTGGAGCATCTATTCTCAGCATTGCGCGGCTATTTTTCGCCTTTTTCAAAGTTTCCCCCGAAACCTGATGAAATCGCTGGAGGACCAGAACCATGAACCAGTCAGCCATCCATAAAGACCGATCTTTCAGTTCCACGACAACTTTGTCGGCTTCCTCAATACTCGCCACCAGCTTCGCCATCGTTTCCCAAGCCGGCCAGAGCCTTCAAAAATCTACATTTTATGGCCCCTTGAGAAAGTCATACTCTTGCAGTACAAACTGATAATTCAACCAAAAGGACTGTATAATATTTCTCTCTAGTGAAATGCACCGAATAACTGATTAATCGTTTAGTCAGTATATATATTGTGTATGAAACGTAGGATGAGCGGGAGAATAGAGGAAGATTAAACTCTAGAAACCTTACGGAGCCTCTTTAAATGATCACTAAAGAGTGAAAAAGTTCTATCTAAGTGACCTCTCTAGTGATTACTTAAGGAAGAGCAAAGCCTATATTTGAGTGGTCCCTCGAGTGGAGCTCTTTTCTCTCTGAAGTGATCACTTAAGGAAGAGCTAGTTCCACATCTAAGTGGTCCCTCGAGTAGAGCTTTTTTCTCTCTAGTGATCACTTAAGAAAGAGAGAATTCCGCATCAAAGTGGTAACTTTAGTGGAATTTTTACCCTTTCTGGAGTGGTCCCTCGAGTGGAGCTCTTTTCTCTCTGAAGTGATCACTTAAGGGGAGCGAATTCGAAATCTAAGTGGTTCCTCAAGTGGAGCTTTTCTCTCTTAAGTGATCACTTAAGGAAGAGTCAGTTCTACATCTAAGCGGTCCTTCGAGTTAAGCTTTCCTTTGCATAGTGATCACTTGAGGGAAGGCAATTCCTACATCTACAGTACCGCTCAAAAGTATATTAAGTTTTGGTTTTTTGAGGATATCTCAGCGAGTACTCATCCGATTTATATATAACTTTCAGGGATTATGTAAAATATACTTTAAAACATATACGGTATACACATACATGTCCGCAGTCACTGCGACGCGTTTTAGGAATTTTTTTTTGAATTCAATTTTTTTTGTTTTTTATGCTTTTATTTTTATTTATTTTTATTAAATGTTTTAAAAGTAATAATGTTGCCATATGTTTTCATGTTTTCAGACATGAGTATGTTTATACCGTATATGTTTTTAAAGTATATTTTACATAATCCCTGAAAGTTATATATAAATCGGATGAGTACTCGCTGAGATATCCTCAAAAAACCAAAACTTAATATACTTTTGAGCGGTACTGTAAGTGGCCCTGTGAAATTCAGTGAAATTTTTTTTTTCTAGTGATCACTTAAGGAAGAGCCAGTTCCACATCTAAGTGGTCACTCAAGTGGAGTTTTTCTCTCAAGTGATCACTTAAGGAAGAGCTTTTTCTACATCTAAGTGGTCCCTAGAGTGGAGATCTTTTTCTACCTAGCGATCACTTAAGGGGAGCGAATTCGCAATCTAAGCGGTCACTCAAGTGGAACTTCCTCTCTGTAGTGATCACTCAAGTGAGAGAGAACTATACATCGAAGTGGTAGCTTTAATGAAATTTTTTGCCTTTCTGGAGTGTTCCCTCGACTGGAGCTGTTTTCTCTCTGAAGTGATCTCTCAAGTGGAGCTTTTTTTCTCTCTAGTGATCACTTAAGGGCCTCTTCGCAGCGCTTAAAAAAAGCAAATTTTCGCCTTTAACTGTCAAAATACATCTAAAAGTGGTGTTATTTTCATTAATTTTAAACTACAGTAGCCAATATTTTCAACAGAGCAGATTCACTACAAAAATATTGAAAAGTGATTTTTTCTGAGGTTTAAAAAAGCTTATTTAAGCTCATTTTCAAAAAAATAAAAATAAACCGAGGTTCTCTGAAAACGCAAGACTTCATCGTTTTGTAGGCCTGCTGCTTCAGTCCGATCTCCATTTCCAACAATCCTATTCTAAAATCAGTATTTCTGTATTTTTCCTTCTTTTCAAACTGACAAATATTCAAAAAAGACGTCGGGATCCTCACGCAACTTTTCCACCGTCATTTCCTGAGAAAAATAATGAATTTTCGTTGGAGCAATCTTACATCGTAGAGTTCGGCAAAATGAACTTTATCATTTTTATTTTTCATTCTTCGCTCCAAATTTTCAGCGTCGAGTTCTAGATAATCTTGCATTATGCCCTGAAAAAGGGTATTTCTAAAGCCGTTTAAAAACCGTTTTGGCCGCATTTGGAATGGCTTAAGGCCATTCAGTTAAAGCAGTTAAATCAGTTAAAGCTCAACTAGAAGTTTAATCTATAGCTCTAATACTTTGAGCGCAAGCCGTTTCAAGTCGGGCGCCACTTTTCCGGTCAGTCCGAGCCATTCCAAGTGCGCCTTTTGGCTTCCCAAAACATTTATAGGTTTTCCCTAGAGGGTTCAATGACAAAAAAGCCCCTATAGTGGACAAAATAGCTCACCCTAGAAGGAGTAGAATTTAAGTGGCCCCTATAGGGGTTTCAGACCTGATGCATAAGTCCCTAAAGCTCAACTAGCCCTTATAGGGGCCTTCAAATCTTCTTGTTATGATTTGAAAGCTAAAAGACCACTAGCCTGCTTCCCTATAGTGGCCACTTTTGTGAGCTTCAAACGAGGTAAAGTGGTCCCTTAAGGGGAACTTCAAGTGCCCTCTAGGGATCACTCTACCTTTCCTAACCAGGGAACGTTTTTTACCCCCCGGTTGAACTTTTGCTGAAACTTTGCTCAAGTGTACTTTAGGACCCCCTGATTACAGAACGAAAATAAAATTTCTCGCAATAGATCTTGTTTCCGAGTTATGGAGCCTCAAAGTGTGCAAAATACGCAAAATAGGCCAAAAAAGCGCTATTTCGGGTATTTGAAGTGTCCTAACTCGAAAACGAGATCTATTGCGAGAAATTTTCTTTCTGTTCTGTAATCAGGGGGGCCTAAAGTTCACTTGAGCGAAGTTTCAGCAAAAGTTCAACCGGGGGGTGAAAAACGTTCCCTAGTAAGCTGTCTAACTCATCCAAATGATTTCTAGAACCAAAAAAAGGCTTGCCAAGAACTTGCAGCGGTAGTACATGAACCGATCGGAATCGATATGTTCGCGGGTCTTTTTCAGAAGAAACCGCGCCCGATTGAAATCCCGGTCTCGCATCAGGGCTGCAGCAAACTTGCTCTGTTGCAAATGTCGGAATCGTTCGACGGCCGACTGGGAGCCGGTCGGATGGAACTTCTTGTTCAGAGGTCCGTCGGAGTCGTTTCTCTGGAAAAATTGTTCTTTTTTTTTTTTGGTATTTGAACGAAAATTCGAGAATTTCCAGCTGATTTTCGAAAATGTTTTGATCTGCGGAAATGGTGGCACTGAGGCGCAAAGAAAAATCTAGAGCCCATTTTAAAGCAAAAAAAGAAATTCCAGCTCAAAATTGAAGAGAAGTGGAACATTTCAAGCTCAAAAATATTCTCTTCAGCCGGTGAGAAAAAATAGCCGCAGAAAATGATCCAAGTGCGCTCCATTGAGAATTGAGGTTTTTTGAGCCATATTAATATGAGAAAGTGATAGAAACCCAGTTTTTTCTATCTTCTCAATATTCCGGCTTACTTTCACTCATAAATTTTTCGGGAGCTCAATTTTCGAGGCTATTTTTTTCGGCTCTTTTTATAGCTATCTTGTCGGCAAAAAGATTTACCTGGGATTTTTTTTTTCAATCTTAACAGGCCCAAAATGAGACGAAAGGCCGGATTTTCTCCGTCTCATCAATAATTTGTCTTATTTTTTTGTTCCTAAATTTTTCTGGGAGCTTAATTTTTTTGAAGTTATTTTTTTCTCGGCTCTTCTTCTATAGCTATTTTCTCTACGGCTAAAATTTTTTTACGGCTAATATTTTTTTCGGGGATCATTTTTTTCAAGGCCCTGCAATGTATCGAGAAGCTTCTATCTTCAAAAAAATTAAACCTATTTTCAGTCCTAAAATTTTTTTAATTTTCAGTTTTCCTTTTAAAAGCTACCTACGGCCAAAAAAATATCAATTTTTCAAAACTGAAAAAAATTTTTCGCTTTTTTTCTATGAATCTCACTCTTTCCCCAGATACCTCTAATTTCAGTACTCTCTTCAAAATTTCTCAAAATCAAATTTTCTCCCTTCATTACCTCCTCATAATCGACGGTATTCGCATAGAAGGTCATGAGCTTTTCGGGACAATGGGCCAACAACTCGTTGGTCCTGAAACGATTGAACTCGTCGATCTCTTTGGGAAAACTATATTGATCAACCACAACTCGGCGTCGAGCATGTAATGGCTGGAAGCTTCGTTTTGAAGCCAGATCAGTTCGCTGACAAAGGCGATGCCGTCGAGATTCGGCCGTTCGATCTGGAAAGCCCATTTTCTTCGTGAAACGAGACCAATTTGTTGAAATCCAAGTCAAAGACAACGTTTGTGAAATTTCGAAACGTGTTCATCTTCGGAAAAATTTTCTTAATTGTACTTAAAAATCGATCACAGCACTTTATGATGACAGGATAAAGATTTTAAAGGAAATTAAAAGCAGTAAGATGAGCTACGTTATTCTCTTTCGTTAGGAAAAAAATATAAATGTACGAAAAATGAACGTCCTGCCAACTAAAAAAATTTTTATTGGAACGCTGGAAGTTTCTAAAAAAACTTGGTCAGCCTTTTGAACAAGTTTTGATAATTTGAAATTCAAAAAAATGTTCAGAATTCGAGCCTCTAGACAAAGGTAAAGTCCCTAAAAACTTAGATTTTATTCAAAAAAACAAAAAAATTATTTTTGAACTTGAAGGTTTCTCAAAAGTAAACCGTGTGTTTTAGAAAAAGGTTAGTTTTAATTTCGCAAATCTTTGAAAAAAATTCAAAAACTTTTCTATGTCTCCAATAGGCGTTTAGAGAAGTTCTGATCATTTAAATTCAAAAAAGATCAGACTTCGAACTTCTAGAAAATCGTAAGATCCTCTGGAAAGTTCTAACAAAAACCGCCTATAAATTTTAAAAACCCTAGGGTTCAGGATTCTTGGAAAAATCCTACCGAAAGTCCTGAAATTCCACTAAACTTCCAGAACGATCTACAAAATCTCATAAAAAATGGGAACTTCGAAATTCTCTCGAGACATAGCCTCTATAAAACCGCCCATCTTCTGGAAAATTCTATAGAATGTTTTTTTGAAAATTCAGAAATCCTATATATTCTTTAATATACAACCTCACCAACATTAAAACTTCCTAAACTCTGAAAAGAAGAAATTCGGAGCTCCTCTGATAAATAGATTCGCCAGAGTTTCACGAAAAAAAGTCTCTAGAAAAGCGAGAGAAACTTCAATAAAAGGTTCATAAAATTATTTGGCTTTTAAAAATTGAGGATTCTCGAAAAATCGCTCCGAAATCTGAAGTTCTTTTTCAGAGCTAACATGATAAATAGACACGTTATAAATAAACAATTCGCTTAACAGGGACTCTAGAAAAAAACACTATTATTCTAGATAAGCTTCAGAAACCCTGAAAAAAATCAGAAATCCTTGAAAAAAATCCTAGCAAAAGCCCTGAAAAATCCAATAAAATTTGAAAAAAATATCTCCAAAAATCTTATGAAAAAAATGAAAGCGTCCGAATTTTTTTCCGAGACATAGCCTCTATGAAAGTGTTCACATTATGGAGACTTCTACAAAAAGATGACAAAATTCAAAAAATCCTTAATGTTTGGACTTTTTTAAATCAACTTCTTTAAATTTTTGAAAAAGTCATACTCAAAATGCTTCAATCAAACGTTTATGAAGACCAAACACCCTAAAAATTTCAAATTTTCGCAGAATTTCACTAAACCCTGAAGACCCCTTCCAAACCCACATGAGAGATTGAAACGCCGGAGATTTGGGAAACATCGAAAGGCGACTGTTTTTGGGGTATCCCAGCGGCATGAAGGGCTCCTGTGCCGCTTCGAATTGCGGCCTGTTGGATCAAAGTGAGTCGATCCGAGTTCAGGAAGGTCGTCGGCGTCTCCGACATCCTTCTCCAACTTCTGAAACTCAACTAGAACTCCGAAAATTACGGTTTTTTTTTTCAGATTTTCTGAAGAAAAATCAACGTAAATGCCCTGTTCTAGCTAAAAATCAACTGAACTTTTCTAGGCATTTCTAATGACCACTTTAGTAGCGTCAGCCCTCTTGAGTGATCCCTAGAACCGCCCAAAAACGTCCGGAGCACGTCCAGAGAAAATTATCTCAAAATGGAATCGGAAGCTAGAGAGTACTTAAAGAGAAGAGACGCAGAGTTGTGGATGTTTTTTCAAGCAATCTTTTTCTCAAACCGAAAATCAGGAACACTTGCTAGAGAGCACGAGAAATGAAGAGACGCAGAGAAACTTCTTTCTCTAACACCATCCACATTTTACGCACTCTCTCGCTATTTGGATATACTCCAAAAAAAATTATCAAATCAGAAAAAAACGAGAGAGCAAGGAAAAACAAAGAGACGCAGAAAAATTTTTTTCTCTACTTCTCTAAAACTCTCCAAATTTTGCGCACTATCTCGCTTTTTCTCAAAAAAAGTACTATTTTTTGATATAATCCAACAAAAATTATCAAAGCAGAAAGAGCGAGAGAGCACAAAAAATGGAGAGACGCAGAGAAATTTTCTCTATTTCTCTAACTCCCTCCTTTTTTCCGCACTCTCTCGCTTTACCAAAAATCGAAATCTAGATATAAAATCGTTAAAAAATAACGAATAAAATCAATAAAATAAGAAAAAAAACGGGTCAACACTTTATACACCCATAAACACAGGAAAAATTTAAAAATGAGGGGAAAATAATCGAAAGGCATCGGGAAAATTAGGCAAAAGATACACCCGATGTACAAGGGAGACACATAAAAGTCGACGAATACCGGTAATTCTCCATTATGGAAGAAAAGATAAACAGTTAGTTTTCAAATGGATGTAAGTAGGGGAAAACCATAAAAAAAGAAAAATCAACAAATTATATAATTCTGAGCTAACATAAGCAACAACAATATTGATTTTTGAAAGCAATAATTTTGAGAAGCCTAGAAAAAGCTACTCAAGTGGTCACTTGAGCTGAAAAACGAAAAAAGAGCAAGAATGAGCAATAAAATGCTAATTTTTAGACAATTTTCAGCTTCGAATTTATGAAATTCAGTTCAAAGTGAGTTAAGATGAGCAACAATAAGAAATTGGATGTAAATATCGTAAAATTGTCAGTTTGAAGCTTTTTCAAGGCTGAAGTGACCACTTGAAGATATTCAGACAGGAAATGATGAGTTAAACTGAGCAAGCATGAGCAACAAGACGCAATATTTTTAAAAGTTAAACCTTGTATAAAGCTAGACCCTGGTTAGTAAAGGTTCTCATGGAAGATAATGGCAATTTTGAATGGATTACTGAATGAGCTATCATTGGCTAAGATGAGCAATATAATAAGAAGCTAGGCAAGCGTGAATCAAGGTGAGAAAGGGAGAAATTCAACTTTTCTAGAGCTCAAAAGCTTTGGGAGAACTTTCGTCCAGTGAGCACGAACTGTGTCGACATTTCATAACAGTTAATGATGAGCTAGTAACAGCTAAGCTGAGCAATGAACAGAAAAACTAAGAACTTGTGAGTAAGAATTAGAGACAGATTTTGAGGAGTTCAGAATCTTTTTTGTTAACTCGGTATACATTCTAATGATTCCAAATAAACAAAAGCATTAGCAACTATCAGCTAAGATGAGCAAAAAAGCGAAAAATTAGGCAATGGTGAGAAACAGGAAAATCCGATTTTTTCAGATTTGGAGGAGCTGAGAAGCAGGTACATTCTTTGGAAAAATATCAACTTCTCAGCTAATCTCAGCTAATCTGAGCAATACGGCCAAACTACACACAGAGCTCAAAGACTCGGCACAACGGGGTCCGTGTCGAAAATCAACTCGGGAAGGTTGTCTCTTCTCTGGGCCCTGTTGATTCGCCTGATAGTCCTGCGAATCTTGTGGGCATGAGATTCGATGCGGAAGAACTTGGCGAGGTAGATTTTTTTGCGGAAGTTCGCCGACTTGTATAAGTCCTCCTCGCGGAGGGTTTTTTTGGAGGCGAGATGGGCTCGGATCGAGCGAATCGTCTGAAATCGAGGCTTTTAGGAGGGGGAAAAAAAAAATGTCATTTCTCGGTATCAGATGTTAACATTTCCCACCAACGTTGGTTGACAATTCAAAATAATGAAAAACATAATTTATTTGAGACTCAATTGAATATAACTTCACAAAAATAGCCTCAGGTTCAATTTTTCCAAATCCCGTCTTTTTTTGCAACAAGTGTGAACATTTTAAGTGGCCACTAGAGGGTTTTGACATTTTAGTGGCCATTATAGTAGTCAAATAAGTGGCCACTTGGGGGTTAAAACTTAGTGGCCACTATAGAGGTCTAAGGGCTACTACTAGACCACTAAACGTTTTAGTGGCCACTTTAGGGATCAATGGATCATCATAACTGGCCCAATCTGTAAAATTATCATAATGAAAGGAATACTGGATGAAAAACTACTGAAGCGGCTCCTAATTAGCGAACCTCTATAGTGGCCACTAAAACAGAAAAAAGTGGCCACTATAGAGGTAGCTTTAGTGGCCACTTTAGTGTCTTCTCCAAGTATTCCGTGGCGAGCCTCTATAGTGGCCACTAAAATTTTTCCCAGAACATAAATCTGTTAGGAGCACTTTTCAACCTTTTGAGAACGCCATAGTGGTCCCTAGAGGGATTAGGGAAAAAAAAAGCCATACATGGGACACCTAGTGCTCTCTAGAGAAGTCCTTAACAATAAAAAAACTAGTATTCTCCCCTAAAGTGGCCACTTTTGCAAGCTTCAGTGCCCTCTATAGGGGAAGGGAAGGTGACCCCTTGAGGGAAACCATCAAGCTCCCTAAGGCTGTCTCTCTAGGGGCCACTCGGGCGTTCCCAAAGTCGCTGGTTTTTGTGTATTTTCTTCAGAAATTCTAAAAACTACCAAGATTTTCGTCGACAAGCCCCTAACAGTCTCAACTTATAAAACTTTCCAAGAAGGGCTCGAAGCCTCGAAATGACCTATTTTAATAGTTTCTTTTGGTTTTCTAGGCACAATTATTCAAAAAATAGGAAATTCTTCAGGTTATAGGATTTTTAAGAAGTACGCTGGATTCATTTCAAAAAAATCTCAAGTTAAAAAGTCCTTCATCACACTTCAAACAGAACAAGACGAACCTGAAATCTTGCCCTGCGGGCAGCACTGCAGACACGCCCGCGGGAGTCCTCGTCCAGCCGCGGGTCTACCGCGGTTGGCCCGAGAAGGAACCGCAGATCGTCGAGGTAGGACGTCTGGCCCGTCTCGATTTTGTCGATGATGCTGTCGAAGGCCACTTCGATTGTTCGGTCTGCAAAATTGCACCTTTGGGGAGAAGCTCTAGTGGTCACTTAAGCGGCTCCTAAAGGAACATTTGGAGGTGACACTAAAGTGGTCTAGTAATGTCACCCGGACTCCTTAAAAGGCCACTAACTTTTGGCAACTCAAGTGGCCCCTGTTTTGACCACTATAGTGGCCACTAGAACGCCAAAACCCTACAGTGACCACTAAACATTATAAAAGTCAAAACTCGTTTTTTGAAAAACTCCTATAGACTTTTTTTTTTCGAAACTTACACAAGTTAATCTGTCCTGTGGCAATGAAAACGGCCGGTTGATCCCAAATTTGTTCGGTGGACACCTCCAAAACTGGCGTTTCTTGGATTTCTGAAAAATTCTTGACTTCTAAGTTTTCGATGAAATTTTAAACTTGAAAAATTGAAAAATCTTTTTTTGACCGCTGAATGAATCACTAAGCTGTTTAGAACAAAAAAACTTTTTTCGTCTGTGATTTTTCTATTTGGCTCTTCTTTAACATTTAATTTTTGTGGATGAATAATATATGCAGTTATTTGAAAAATCATAAAAAAATATTAGACCATGATAAAATCATCAAAAATAGTCTCTTTCGAAAAATCCTAGCTTTTTTTAAATGAACATTTCATCAAGAATATGGAAAAACCAATGCTTCAAAAAAATTCTAATCTTTATTAAAATGTTTTTTTGCAAAGAAAAATTAACCAATAAAAAAAGATTATCTGTTTGAAAAATCCTTCAAAAATGAGCTTTTGAATCTCCTACTTAGAAGCAATCAATATTTTTCTTTTTCAAAGACCTATTTTTTTCCATTTTATGTATTTCCTCAAGAAAAAAATAATTCAAAAACTTTTTATAAAAATTTATTTTTGCAAGGAATGTGAACTGAAAAATGTTTTTAAAAGTCGAAAATCATTCGAAAATCCGTCATAAGCACTTCGCAATAAAGCAATTTTTTTTTCAAAGTCCACTCCTTTAATTAAATTAATACCCTTTTTTTCAGGCTTGCTGATATAATTTTTTTGGCAGTGGCAAATGAGACATTATCATCGATGTTTACAACGTCTGCCTATTCACACAAATGATGAAACTTAACTTATTAAGGAAATCAAAAAGATAAAATGATCATTTTCACGGCTTTTTTTATTTTCATCAAGATTTCCCTTTCAAATATCATTTTTATATTCTCCTCTCCTCGCATGCTGAGCAGGGTGACCCAGCCGTGCTAAAACGGGGTGTCAGCGGGTTCCCCCGTATTGAACCCGTAGAAACACAGTTGGTAGAACTTCTGGAAATCTTTAGCCCAATTGAGACCCCGATTTAGCACAGCTGGGGGACATACTTTTCTTGCACCCGTTGCTCCCCCGTTTTAGCCCGACGGAGACTAAAATAACCTCAGAAACACGGGTACACCCGTTGAGACACCTCGGGTCTTTCCTCCTGATTTACTCGAAAACAATATTTATTGAATGACTTCGACTCGAACTAATATCATTTTGTTTCATTTTCATAAAAATGATGGAAGTGACTAAACGCCTAGAGTGACCACTTCCGTCAGTTTTTGTGTCCTAGAGGTGGAGGTGAGGCTGTTCCTCCAGCGAGATCTACAAGAGCCGGAGAGGTCGCCCCTCTAGGGACCACTATGACGCTCCTAAGTTCCGTGAACCTTAGCGTCCTAAGAGGTGAAGGTGAACGTGGTTTCTTCCAGCGAGACCTACAAAAGCTTCTGAAGATATCCCTCAAGGGACCACTATGAGGCTCCTTAACGGGACCTACAAGAGCCCCGAAAGATGCCCCTCTAGGGACCACTGTGACGTAGGTTCCTTAAAACTTAGCGACCTTAGACACACCATACTTTCCTATTTTCAGTCTCGCCCATAGGGGAAAGTAAAGTAGTCCGTTAGGGGAATCTACACGAGCCCCTTAGGCTTCCACTCTAGGGACCACTCTTGAAAATAATTAACGATAACTATTCGTTTATATAAAACTATCCTACTACCCTAGAGTAGCCACTAACTAAACCCCTAGAATGACCACTTCCGTCAGTTTTTGTACCCCTAGCGGTGGAGGTGAGGTGATTCCTCCAGCGAGATCTACAAGAGGTCGCCCCTCTAGGGACCACTGTGACGTAGGTTCCTTAAAACTTAGCGACCTTAGACACACCATACTTTCCTATTTTTAGACTCGCCCATAGGGGAAAGTAAAGTAGTCCCTTGAGGGGAATCTACACGAGCCCCTGAGGTTTCCACTCTAGGGACCACTCTTTAAAATAATTAACGATAACTATTCGTTTATATAAAACTATCCTACTACCCTAGAGTAGCCACTAACTAAACCCCTAAAGTGACCACTTCCGTCAGTTTTTGTACCCCTAGCGGTGGAGGTGAGGTAGTCCCTTGAGGAGAATCTACAAGAGCCGGTGAGGTCGCCCCTCTAGGGACCACTCTAGGGACCATGAACTTTTAATTGTTCAGTTCAAATTTGAGCTTTTTTTCGGAAACGAACTGTAATTATCGCTGAACTGCGAATGAAATCGATCGATAATGAAATCGAAGGCTTTTTCCTTCTGGAGCCGGCCTTCTTTGACGTCTTCGAAGGCGTTTCTGGAAAATGAAGATGTATATTTTTCATCCAAACTGATTAAAAAATTCCCTTAAGCTAAAACTATTTTTCCCTGATAAATATTACCTTTTTTTAAACTTTTAAATGATAGAAAATCCGAATTTTTACAAAAAATTAGCAAGGAAAAATCATATTTTTTTAAAGTTTCGAGGCTATTTTTAAAAATTTTCGAGTTTTTCTTCAGATAAAAAAATCAATTTTTGATTTTTTTCCATTTCAAAATTCTCAAAAATCTACCAGATTTCTATCAAAATCAGCTTCAAAAATACGGAATTTCCTATATATATTTTTGGATCCATTCTCAACTGAATGAAGTAACATTAAAAAAATATTGTCATTTTCTCTAGATTTTTCTCAGTTTTCGGAACTTTTCTAGAAGGATTTTTTTCTCATAAAACGGTCAAAATCAAATAAAAATTGGAGATTTTGCTCTACAGATAGACAGCGTAAAAATCCATTTTTTCCTTTATTAATTGTGGAACCGACAAGTCAACCGGGACGACTCCGACAGTTCTCGGGGATTCCATCGAATCGTCGGTTCCCATGGCCTCGAGCTCGTGGAGCAACTTCGTCCAGGCGTAGACTAGATATCTAGAAAAAAATATTGATGAAAAAAATAGTTAGTTGATGAAAAAAATGTATTGAAAAAAATAATTGGTTAATAGATATGAACGATTTGAAATAATTATTTTTTTATATAATAAAGATCGTTTCAAAAAAACTTTTTGTAGTCATCAAATAAGAGAGAGAAAAAGGTTTTTACTCTTCGAAATATAATTTTGAAACCACTCATTTTAAGATTTCTATGAAAGTTCATCGAAGAGTCCATTTCAACGACCAAAAAAATGCTTTCAATTCTGAGTTTGGTCCTAATTTCAATTCTGATTCATACCGAATCTAATTAAAAATCTAACAAATGAAAGAAAAAAATCACACTTTCTCTCTGAAACTGATCATTTTTAATAAAAAGACTTATCAAAACTCCAAATTGTTCCTTTTTCATGATTTCTCAAGTGAAACAAGCTTTCTAAAGTACATTATTCCCTCCTTCAAATCATCAATTAGTGCATGAAATCTTGTCTCTAGTTGAAGATTTTCTTTTCAAAAGGTGACAAAAATGGATATTTCCACGAAATGCTGACCAAATCTTCAATTTTCCCTTTTACTCGATGTTTATCGCTTGAAACTCGTCAGAAACTGATAATTTTCGAAAAAATGCTGACCAAAACTCCAAATTTTACCTTTTTACTAGTTTCTTTTTGTTTTAAACAAAAACTTCTAAAAGTACATCTCCTCCTTCAAATTATCAAAAAAAGCAGGAAATCTTGTCTCCGGTTGAAAGTATCGATGTTGCCAAAACTGATAAATTTAAACGAAAAGCTAATCAAAATTGCAAAATTTATACTTTCCCATAACTCTTCTCATTTTTTTCTAAGGTCCTCTGTTAAAAATAAAAAAATTCTAGAAACTTCCTATTTTTAAAATAACATTGACAACACGAAATATTGCCTCTGGTTCTGAATTTTCTTTTCAAAGTCGATAAAAACTGATAATTTCCCATGAAACTCTGACCAAAAAGTCGTTTTTCAATTTTTATTGCTTTAAAGTCGACAAAAACTGATAATTTTGGCCAAAACTCCAAATTTTGCCCTTTTTACTAGTTTTTTTGATTTAACGAACCTTCTAAAGTACATCTCATGGGTGCTAGTGTGTCCTTGACCTTGAACCGGGGCGATAATCTGTTCAATACGGTCGAGCTGACTGTAGGAGTAGAGCTGCTGCTCCTCCTCATCCTCCACCTCTAACTCTCTATTCATTGGCTCCTAAAAAATCGATAAGTGTTGAAAAATGGTTCTCAAATCTAGTTTTAGAGGAAAATTTCTGATTTTTCTGATTTTTATCGAGAATGGAGCGATGAAAAAGGGTTCAAAAGCTCAAAAAAACCTTTTTTTAAAAATTAATTCTTCTCATGAAATTAATCGCAAAAGGTCCTCATTACGGTGACAAAAATGTGTCGAAAAGTAGAATTTTCAAAAAAGCCCTTTTTCCAAAAATAAAAAGGTAAATTGACCTTTTTGGAAAAATTTCGAAGGCCTCAAAAAATAATTTTTTTGTTTTCTCAAGGCCCTTAAAAGGTCCCTTGGAGCGATTTTTCAAACTCCAAACCTTCTGAATAAATCCTCCAGTTCTAAATTAATACTAGAAACTTCGAAAAATAATAATAAATTATCAAAAAAACATAGAGAATCACAAAAATCTCGAAAAAAATACATACGCCAACGGTTGAAAAACCCAATGAAACTCGAAAAAACATCAAAAAACACGAAAAAATTTATAATCCAAACGTTTTTTTGTAAGTGAAAGAAGAGAATTCATCAGAAAAAGGTGAGATTTTGGCACAAAAAAGGAAAATTTTCGAAATCAGAACCCATATGAGAAAGATCCGTAATCAGTGGGATTCAATGTGAAATCGGCACATAGAAGACGATAAAATCGAGAAAAATACGGAATGAAAATGGAACTTTTTTTTTCGCACAAAACAAAAATTAAACTACACAATCAAAATCAAATTAATTTCTGGAAAAGGATTATTCAATCGAGGAGCTCGAAGGACTGCCTCTTGACGGGCTTCTCGAGTAGTTTCTGGAAAAAGAAAAAAATGGTTCAAAAATTGGAAAATGGCTCATAATTCGAACTTTTTGAGCTTCTGGGATTTTTTTGAATCAAAAATATTGAAAAACTCGAGGATAAAAACCAAAAATTCAACTCTAAAATGAATTGAAAAACCCGTTTTCTGGATGCATAAAAACTTGAACCTTGATATTTATTTTTCCATTTTTGGTTTGTTCTAAATAATCTTTCAAATATATCAATTTTTACCAACCCTTCAAGAGCAATATTTTTTTCCTCTGAAGTTAGAAACTAAAAAATCAACTATTCTTATGAAAAATTGAACATCTTTACAGAAAAAAACGTGCAAATTCGTCTTTTTTTACTTCTCTCTCGGCTAATATTTGGATATTTTTCTTCAATAGTTTTTATTTTATTGGAAAATTTTTGAACAGCTTGAAATAACTTGAAAAAGGGCCATAGTCGAGAAAAAAATCTCAAGAAAAATTGATGAAAAAGTGTTGAAAAATCATAAAGCTACTGTAGCTCTTTTTTCATTGTCAATAAAGCTTGTTTTTCTCGAAAATTCTATTTTTGAAACTTTTTCCAGCTTTTTGTTCTCAAATTATAATTCGAATTTCCATCTTCCGTTAAAAAAATTATTCCTTCACATCTAAGCTTTGATAGTCATATATTTCTTCAATTTTCAACTTCATGCTTCAGATTTAACGTCACTGCCCTCGAAAATGTTCAAAATCTTTCTAGATCCCTTCAATAATCTCTCAAAAAAATTTGATTGAATCTTATCTAAACCCCTCCTCCTGGACGAATTCGTTTGAGGTCTCTTGGTGGGATCATTTTTCAATTTTTTTCGGCTTTTTAATATTTTGTTTTTCTGGTTCTAGATTTTTCCCGTTTTTGCTTTAGTTCTCAGCTTTATGCGGAACATATTTCTCAAATTCCTAACGTCCCTTTAAAAAAATATCCCTTCAAATCTTCGCTTCGTATAATATATTTCTTCAATTTTTTTAATTTCGTGAATTATTCCTTAAGAATTCTTCCTTTCTTTTCCCATTTCTAGCCTTTTTTGGTTCCTTTTTGACTTTGTTGCAGCTCAAACTGCAGATCCTTTTCTATCATTTTCCATCAAATCTCTACACCTTTTTCTTTTCATTTTCTTTTCTAGCAATTCAGAACTTTTTTTCCCAAACCATCAGCTCTATTTTCACCCAGATCATTTCTCCCTTACATCTTCCCACCTAGCCCTGCTATGACTGCTCCTCCTGGACGAGGGCGTCTTGAAGCCGTAGTCGCCCATCGCGTCTCTGGCGGCGGACCGACGCCGGTTCGCCGCCTCCTCCTGCTGCATCATTTCGAGCTCTTCCTCCTCGTCGCGGTCCTCGAAATGTCTGGATCTCAAGACGTCGTTCAGACGGTAGCTGGACGGGATTCGGGTAGCTGAAGGACGACGTTCAGTGGCCGGACGGGGGTTTGGAAGGTAGTGAGCTGAAAAATTTCAATTTTCAATCAATTCAATAAAGTCTTCATAGATCAGAGGCTAAGACGCTTGTTTGTGGTGAGAAAGGTCAGAAGTTCAATCTCGGAGCAAAATTTGAGGAGAACCCCTGATTTTTGGGATCTACCGCTTAGTAGAACTATAGAGAATAATATAATTTCTTTGGAAAATTTTTTTTTCTCGAATTATTGGCTCCTCTACTTGCCTATATGTGATCAAAGTTTCCATAGAACAGAAATAAAAGTGAAAAATCTTGATCCAGAACAAAAATACAAAAATAAAACCCCAAAAAATCATTTTTCTTGTGCAATTTTCAGCTACAAGATCATTGCGCGATAGCGAATTACCCCTTTTTTCAAATTTTCCTGTTTCCACTTTCAAAATTCACCTCGCCTATCAAATTCCTCAGCGGGCAGGGATCGATTCAAGTTCTGGTAAGGCGAAAGGAGCCGAGTGGCGACGTTTCGCGGCAATCGCATCGAGACCACCGAAGAGGGGCTGAAATTTAGAAAAATCAAAGAAAAATCACTCAAGGATTTCTTCACTGAGGGACAGCAATTTCAAGAAATCAGAGCCAAAAAAATATATTCCCAATTTAAAAAAATATCCGAGCTCTTATTTCCGCCACTCTGAAAAAATAATCGAACATCAATTGACTTTGCAGAGAATGTTAACGAGCCTATGTTACAGAAGAGCTAGAATCCTTTCGAAAACCCTATTTTGAAGCCAATCTTTTAAAAAAATTCTCCTGAGCGTTGCGAAATTCGATTTCAGGCCAAATAAAATTATTTGAATGCAGTTTTGAAGCAGTAGAAATAGCTGATTTGTCTTTTCTGGCTATAAACTTTCCCATTACAAAAACCTTCTATCCCAAGCTCAAAAATATGTTGAAACAGGAATCCGCAAAAAGCTTAAAAAAACTTATCCCTAGAGCACAAAAACATTTCCGAACCGTAAAAATCTATAAATATTGTTGATGACGAGGTAAAATGTCCAAAATCCAATCTTGTACACGAAAAAATATATAAAAAAAAAAAATCATCCGTAAAATTTATTGGCAAAAAATGAAGTAAGAGATGCGGAATAGCTTGGACGGCGTCTGTAAAACATTTCCAATGTCGCATTTTTCGAATTGTTTCAAGTAAAAATAAAATCCAAACCTTCCGCCGGTCCGGATTTCGACCTCGTCATATTCTTCCATATCGTCGCCATCATCGTCGCGTCTAGAAAATAGTTTTCTTGACAAAAATAGATTTTTAGGCAGATTCTGGAACAAAATAGCATGCCAAACCAGTAAAAAAAATGCAAAAAATCCGTAATTCTGATCCTCCAAAATTGAGTTATCGTTTTCTTTCTCTGACCTCTATTTTGATTTTCGCGTAATCACTTTGAAACCTGATACATTGGAAAGCTTGTCAACCCTTTTTTTGAATCGCATCAAACTGTCTAAAACCTCTTCAATCCTCATACTCTCTAATTTTGGCGAATTCCATCCCTCTTTAACGAAAAATTCAGAGAAAATGTAAAATTAGAGCTTTAAAATCAATTTTTAGGTATTTTAAAAATGTAAATATCAGAAAATTCCATTCAAATATTCAAATAAACGAACTTAAATTATTTGAAAAAAATCATCAGGTACCTGAAAAACGATCAACACAACGCTCTCAAACCACAAAGCTCCATTCCGAGTTAATTTTACAGAGCAAACGGTTAAAAAAACACCACAAAACTCTAATTTTTCAAGCTTTTCCATGCAAACAATCGAAAAAATGAACCTATTAAGAGTCGTTTTGGATAATTGGTGAGCGACCCGTTCGTCATTGGAAACGTCGGACTGGCCAAACTGCACAAAACTCGCCAGCCTGTGCACACTTTTCTTGTTACTTTTGGCATTTTCTGCGTTTTTTTTTTGCTTTAAAATGTCATTTACTCCGAAAAAAATACGATTCTTTCGATTATTCACCTATTGGCATTGACGACGTTGTTCACAATCTGCCAGGGAAGATTTTCCGGGTTGGAGCAGTAATCCCGGAGAAGGTCCAGCTCCCTTTTCGTCGTCTCTCGACCTTGTTTCTGGTACTCCTCTTCGGTCAGCAGCTTCCGGGGCCTTGGAAAAGCTCGATTCCTCAAGTGGTCATTTGAGAGAACATGTTATAACCAATTATTGTCGTATAGAACGTTAAGAACGTCATGTACCTTTAGTAGTCATTTAAGAGAACATTTTTGGAGGAAAAGGGGAAAATTTCAGAGCCAATTATTGTCTTTATTGACGTTTAGAAAGCTCGACCCCTTAAGTGGTCATTTAAGGGAACATGTTATAACCAATTATTGTCGTATAGAACGTTACAAACGTCATGTACCTTAAGTGGTCTTTAAAGGGATTTTTTTGAAATAAAAGTAAAAAATTATGTAGCCAGTTATCGTCATCATTAACGTTGAGTAGGTGAGCTTCCTTAAGTGGTCACTTAAGAGAAAATTTTCGATAAAAAAGCGGAAATTATACAGCCAATTATTGTCATTATTAACGTTAGGAAGACGCGCTCCCTCAAGTAATCCCTTGAGAGGAAGTTTTCAGATAAGAAACAGAAAATTCCTTGACTAATTATCGTCATCATAAACATAAGGACTGTTATTCCCTCGAGTTCTTTTTCATCAACTTTTAGAAATTCCTTAAAAAATCTGTTAATATTTCAGATGTCATCCCTAATGTTCTCCTTGTGTTTCGCCGCATTTAATTTAATATTTGGTATTGGTTCATTTTCTTGGGGTAATTCGATTTTTGAGGGTTCCTTATGAATTTATTAGAAAAATGATTAGATTGCACTTTTTTCCCAATGCCTGGCAATGGAATAGATGAACATGGAGTGACCAGATCTCAATAAATCATTCGAATTGGGATTATTTTTCCTTGAAGTTTTGAAATTCAAGTTTAGAAAAAATGCTAACGCTGTAAACAAAAAACTTTGAGTTCTGGATTTATTATCTCTACTTTGAAGCGTATTCATTCCAACTTTTCAGAAGCTTTTCACGCGGATTTTAATTATTTTTTGTGAGGTTTTTATGGGAAAATGATAAAAAACGTTGCAAGAACCTCTGTGGACGAAAATGATAGGGAAAAAAGACTTCATGTAAAAAATGGCCGTGGATGAAATAGCCGGCGCGCTCCAGGGATAACGTGTACGAATTCAAGTGTTTTATTTTTGTGAATTTTTCAGGTTTTTACTTTTTCTGATTGCTCCCTTAAGTGGTCTTTGGAGGAAAAAAGCCAATAATTGTCATTTTAAAGCTAGGAAGGTACCCTAAGGTGGTCATTTTTAACAGGATTTTTTGAGTTCAACCGTTTAAGTGGCCACTTCAGGCTGTTTCTAGTTTCTTTTAACCACACTCCCTGAAGGAAAACTTTCATAAAACCGCCAAAGATGAAAAAAAGGCAATTCCTTCACTTGTTCTCCAAAATTTCCAAGTTTAAATTTCTTTGAGGGTTCCTTATGAACTTATTAGAAAAATGATTAGATTGCACTTTTTTCCCAATGCCTGGCAATGGAATAGATGAACATGGAGTGACCAGATCTCAATAAATCATTCGAATTGGGATTATTTTTCCTTGAAGTTTTGAAATTCAAGTTTAGAAAAAATGCTAACGCTGTAAACAAAAAACTTTGAGTTCTGGATTTATTATCTCTACTTTGAAGCGTATTCATTCCAACTTTTTCAGAAGCTTTTTCACGCGGATTTTAATTTTTTTTTTTTTTTGTGAGGTTTTTCATGGGAAAAATAGTGGTCATTTTTAACAGGATTTTCTGGGTTCAACCGCTTAAGTGACCACTTCAAGCTGTTTCTAGTTTCTTTTAACCACACTCCCTGATGGAAAACTTTCATAATACCTCCATAAAACGAAAAAAAGGTAATTCCTTCCATTATTCTCCAAAATTTCGGATTTAATTTTTCTAAAACTCCACCAATATTTTTTCAAAACTAACCACATGTTTCTGACGCCGATGAGGTACCACTTGAAGCCTCCAAAAAGCCACCCATGCGACAGATGATGCAGAACTAGGAGGGCCATCACTGCCAACGACAGTTCCGGGACCTAAAAATTAAATTTTCAAGCTCCGACATTTTTTAATAACACCAAGTCGCTTATATTTCAAAAAAATCACTTTTTCGGATTTTTTTGAGCTAAATTTTACAAAAAGCGCAAAAAAATGAAAAAAATAATCCGTCATATCAACACATAAAATCATCAAATAAAGTCTGGTCAGGGCCGTCTCTCAAGCTCCGCCCCGAATGATGCAATTAAAAAAATCAGAAAGCATTTTCGAATGACGTCATTTCACTCAAAATTCAAAATCTAAAAAGACTAGAGAACCGGGAAAATTTTTAAAAAATGTCGCGATTAAGGGAAGAATTAAAAAAACTAGCTTTAGAGGAAAATCGATAGCTTTTCACCACTAATTTCTTATTTTGAAATCACCTGAGATGAGAAATAAATCAAGGCGAGGGCAATCAACTGAAGGGTCCACTGGGCGATATCGTGAGATCTGGCGTCGGTCGGAGGGCCTCTCTTGTAGCAAACCGCCATGGAAATCAGAAGGACCGTCGCCTGAAAATCATTTTCAAAGAGTTGTGGTCGTTTCAAAAAGTCTCGCTGTAGGAAGAAGCATGGAGATGTCTATAAAAGCCATTTCCAGCAATATTTTAGTTTATTTCGCGCCTTTCTTATCATTTCTCTGAGATTTTCATGTGTGCAATTGACTTTTTGACCTCAAAATCAAGGATTTTCGAATTTTTCCTCAATTTGTGGTCTTTTTGAAATCTCTAGCAGTTTCAAAGAAGCATAAGGAAAATCCTAAAGGCCATTTCCGGCTTCCTTTCAATTCATTTTGGCTTTTTATCTAAGATTTTTTTCATGAGTACGATTAAAAACTTTGACCATAAAATCAAGAATTTTTCGAATTCTTCTTCAACTTTTTGTATTTTTTTAAAAACCCTAGTGGGTTCAAAAAAAGCATAAGGAAAAATTATGAACGCCATTCCCAGCTATATTTCAGTTCATTTTTTTGCCTTTTTTTGGTTTTCTGAGATTTTCTAGATTGAATTTTTGACCTTAAAATCAAGGATTTTCAAAAATTTACCTCGTTCCGCTCTTTTTTTAAATAATCTAGCCATTATACAGAAGCATAAGAAAAAAATCTTCAGAGCCATTTCCAGCTATATTTCAGGTCATTTAGCGCCTTTTTCTGCCATTTTTTTGAGATGTTTTATGTGTTGGAATGAATTTTTCGACCTTAAAACCAAAAGATTTTCGAACTTTTCCTCAAGTTCTGGTCTTTTTAAAAACTCTAGAAATTTTAAACAAGCATAAGGAAAATCCTAGAAGCCGTTTTCAGCTTTATTTAAGGCGATTTTGCGCCTTTTTGGCCTTTTTCTGAGATTTTCCATCTGTTAGATTGAATTTTTGACCAAGAATATTCAAAAAAATTTCCTCGTTTCGCTCTTTTTTTAAATAATCTAGCCATTGTACAGAAGCATAAGAAAAAAATCCTAAAAGCCATTTCAAACTGTATATTTAGTCATTTAGCGCATTTTTGTGCCATTTTTCAAGGCTATCAATTTTTTTCGCCGTACACTTTACAAGAGAAAAAAATCCAAAAAAAGCATTTTTCAAACTCGAAAAATCCCATAGGTTAAAAATTTACAGATAATGTAAAATATTCAAATTTCAACTCAAAAATTAGAAAATTGCTTTTAAAAAAATTTTCCAAAAAGCCAAGAAACCTTCTCTTTTCCACTACTAAATTTCATCAAAATAAACTTTTTAAAAGTGAATTTCAAGGAGATTTAGTTTATTGAAAACATTCAGTAAAACCGTCCGAACTCTACGGATTTTACACAAAATTTGTTGGCTTACAAAGTACATGGCGACGTATTTCTGATGTTGCATCATGATGGAGGAAAAGTTGGACCAGGCGAAGTGAAGCATGTAGAGACAGGCCGACCAGCCGCCTATGAGGATCGGGAGGCCGATGAATGTCTTCTGGAATGGACAAAAATGATGAAAGAAATATTTTTTTCTATTAAGAATTTTGTTGAAAAAAACGGGAAAAATCAAGCTTTTGAGGCGCCTTTTCACACAAAAAAAAAAAATTTTGAATATTTTTACTGCTTTTCTCATTGGAAAATTCAAGATTCAGAACTTTAAAAAGTTAAAATCGAAATTTTATTTTTTTGTTACGGAACATCTTACACCTAAAAAAACCTAAAAGAGCACTTTTTTTTAGATATCAACAATGATGAGAACCTATAAAACTAAATATTTTTCCATTTTTTTAAAGCTTCTAAACAATTTTCTACACCTGTAACTAATCTTTTAACATTAAACCTCCAATAAATTGAAAAAAAAACCTGAATTTTCACAAAACTTAGTTTTTACCCGCTTTGACTATCCCTAAAATGAAAAACCAAGCTTTTTTTAAGCTTAAAAATACCACGAACCCCCTCTAGTACCATAAAAACCACCTTGGGAGCGACGCGATAAATCAGAAAAACGACGAGAAGAAGCGACGTGACGACGCCGAAGGTACAGCCGCTGGCATAGTAGAAAACGACGTTTCTAACGAGTTTCGAAGCGAAAAGGAACAAGGAAATTCCGCCGAGGAAGACGGCCAGTCGCAAAATGTTCACTTCTGAATGAAATCAATGAAAAGAAGCTGAAAAATGACATTTTTCCATACCCCACATGTTGATGGAGACGGAATAAGGCTCATTGGTAGAGATCCCGATGATTTTGTCATCGAATGGGTTCAATTGGTGGGACCTAAAGGGCACTTTTTATTTTTTAAAAAGGCACTCATCCACCTCCAAAGTGCGCCTTTCCTCAATAACCCGAAATAACGATTGTCGCTGCTGTGCAAATCTTCAACCTCCGTACAATTCTCCCCCTAAAAAATAAAATGATTCCAATCCAAATTTCAGCACGGAAACTTGATAGAAGGTGAAGGCGTCCGAGTCGGTCAAGTTGATTTTCAGAAAGGCGTCGGTGAACGCCCGGAAAACCGAGTAAGGAACCCCTTTGTAGAAGTAAAAGTCCAATTCTCGTCCATTTTTAGGCCCCGCATGGCTTTCCAATTGCGCCAGTGCTATTTTCAGATCAAATCATTGATATCTAAGATTTTTACCTACCTTGTGGCTTTATCGTACAGCCGGCAAAAGATCCCGCGTGGGAAAAATTGAAAAACAACAGTAGCAGGAGTAGAAACCTCATGCCTGCAAGGCGTCGGTTAAAAATGAAGATTTTATAAGTAATTCACGTGAAATTTCATTTATTTCGGGAGTTAGTTGACAAAACTTCAAAAATTAAAATTGAAAAAAATTAATATATATTTTCTAACTTTCAAATTCATCAGTAATTTGTAGCACTATCCTATTCTAAACCAGTCATTATAAAGTTAATAATGTGTGAGAACAAAAGAAAAACACAAATAAGAGTGGAAAGAAAAAGCCTTTTTTTCGACAAAAATTCGAAAAAAATTGCTACTTTGTAACTTTAGATAACTTTTCATCAATTTCTACAAGCTCCAAAATCAAATTGATTAATTTAAGAATTCAAAAACAGCAAAAAAACCGAAAGGATTCAAAATAGGTCTTAAAAATGAAAATTAAAAAACAGAAATTAGGAATTAGAAAAAAAAAACATTCCTCTGATAAAACCTCCAAAAAAACTTCAAATTTTCCTACCAAAAGCATATAATAAAATTATTTCTAACTACTATTCCCTAACAACTGAACAAAGCGAAAAAAATAAACAAATAAAAAAACATAAAAAAAGTTTTCAAATTTTGCCATTCCGTCACTCCAGTTGACGCTTTTTTTCAGCTGGCGGTAGAGCGCGCATTACGAATTTATAGCTCTTTTTGTTTTCGGCTTCCCGGTCCCAATTTCCTCGTTGTTTTCAGTGGTTTTCAATGATTTCATTGTAATACGGGGTCCCTGCAATAGAGGAACCTCTTCTACCGTTTTATATTCTTTGAAAAGCGTTTATTCTTGCGTATTTTTGCCAAATTTAAATTGTAAAGTTTCAGGGGTGTTTTATGTACATAGCGCCTGTCGGTGGCCATGGAAGATGGCACGAGAAGAAGCGTTGATGATCTCGCCAAAGCTTTAGAATGTATTTTGGACAGTGTCATCGAGGAAACGGGCCTTTCCACGACGAGTAAAAGTTTGCGAAAATCCATTTTTCCTGAAAAACGTATTAATTTTGAAGAAAAGAAGCATAATTTGACTGCGAATCAGCTGAAAACGGTCCAAAGTTTGCACAAATTCGTTTCTTCGAGCAGTTTTCAACAGAATACGGGCTCAACGTTTGTTTTTCGTTTCATTTTATTTTTTTTAAATTTTATTTTTAGGTCAGCAATATCTGGCACAATAGCCTGTTGTGACGGATTTATATCTGAATGGGAAAATGCGGGCGGAAAATCGGCGGCGGTTCAACAATTGGTTGCATTATTGCAAAAGGCCTCATATCAGAGTTTGTTCATTTTTAAATATTTTATTTAATTTCAGAAAATAAAAATTGAGGGTTTCATTTTGAAAAAAATGCCCTTTTTGTTTTTGAAAAATAATAGGAAAAAAAGAAAAATTGTGCTAAAAAGTTTTTGTGTTTCTCCGCTCAACGTTTGAGTAGAAAAATTGAGATTTGATTCATTTTTTTCTATTCAAATTCAGCTCCTATCGGATTTTTACCTACTTCAGGCGCTTCTCTGGTCAACCGAAGACATTTCTACAGGTCGTTTCGTTCCAGAACTTCCCCCAGTACCTTACGAAGTCGACGAAGATGAGGGAATTGCAGTGAAAATTGTGATTTTTTCTCGTTTTCTGCTCAAAAAGACGAAAATTTCGAAGATTTTTAGCGTTTTTAACTGAAAAAATGAATCAAGAATGATAAGATTGTGCCAGTTTGTTGTATATTTCATAGAAAAAAGTTGTATTTTTGCAGTTTTTATGTTTTAAATCGAGAGGTAAAAGGCAATATTTAAAATTTACAGCTTAGAAATTGCTTAAAATCGTTAAAATGGCTCCAATTTTTTCTAAGACAGGATGTTTTTTGTATATTTTTCAGGTATAACTGTAGTTTTTGTGATTTTTTGGGATTAAATATAAGAATATAGAGAAGATTTGAACTTTTTCGAGCAGTTATGACTGAAAAAGTACATTAAAAACTTAAAAATGGGCCAGTTTTTTTTAACCTAACAATGCAGAGCAATTTGCAGTTTTCTTCAAATTTAAAGTATTAAATAATTGCTCAAGCTCCGCCCCAAATTGAGTCATAAACCAATCAGAAAGCGAGCCATCCACTGAGCCTTTTTAATGACGTCATAAAATTCTTGAAATTCAAAATTTGAACAGGGCCATTTTTTTCAGTGAAAAATTGATGGATTTTTACTAATTTTTTTCAAAAATTTTTTTATTTCTCGAGTTTAGGTCCGAATAGTCCGACGGGACGATCCGCTCGGCGCCACGATAAAATGCGACGGCGGGAAAGTTTATATTGCACGGATCATCGCTGGCGGAGTCGCCGATCGTAGTGCTTGTATTCAGGTGGAAACCATTCAGAAACCAGAAAAATTGGAAAAGAAAAAGAAACAAAAATAGTTTTTCAATCCATTTCTACAGTTTCAGATGTGCATATCCTTTTTTGATAATGTTTTGGCCTTGGAAAATCAAAAAATTCAGGATTTTTTGTGAAGTGTAGCCTCTGGGACCTTGGTAACGTGTCTGAGCGATTCTAGGGATCACTTAAGGGAGCTGACACCACTAAAATGGTCACTAGAAATTTCCGGAGCAGGTTACCAAGGTCCCCGAGATGATATACAATCTTTTAAGCAGTTTTTAAAAGCGTAGAAGAGTTAAGAAAAGCGTTGAAAGCTACATTTTTTTTTTGCAACATTGGTTAGATATTTCTATGCTCCTTTAAACATCCAAAAAAGGATAAGCTTAATAACACCAGAGTGGTCCCTGTAGGGGCAAGGGGAAAAGAGCCCTTATAAAGTTAAAAGTAGATGGTTTCTATAGTGGTTCAGGGGCTATGAGGATGACTGACTAAAACCCCTAAAGGGACCGCTTTTGGAAGTTTAGTGACTCCATAGAGGTCGGAAAAGTGGTGTCTAGAGGGGTTATGAGCATGACTGACTAAAACCCCTATAGGGGACATTTTTGGAAGCTTTAGAGGTCCTTAGAGTGGTGTCTAGAGCAGTTACGAAGGTGACCGACTAAAACCCCTTTAGGGAACATTTTCGCAAGCTTTAGTTGTCCCTATAGGGGCCGGCAAAGTGATGCCTTGAGGGGTTATGATGGTCTCCGACTAAAACCCCTATAGGGACCACTTCTGCAACCCCCTATAGGGGTCAGAAAAGTGAACTCTTGAGGGGAATTTTCGGAGGCCCTTAGAACTGCCTCTGTAGGGGCCACTCTGAGGTTCCTAAGAGTCTCATAAGTTTTTTAGTTTCAATCGATTATTCCAAATGAGCAGTTTGTTTTGTAGATAGAGGATTTTGCAGGAAGGCGACCGGGTGCTGGAGGTGAACAACGTGAGCGTGGCGGACAAGACGGCCGACGAGATCGTCGCCCTCCTGAATCGCTGCGACGGCGGCTGCGTCACCTTCAAACTCATCCCCGCCGAAATCTCCAACCCACAGAATAATCAACCCGATCAGTCGCATATCCACCTCAGGGCTTTGGTAAGGCCCGTTGCTCTTCCCGGGCTTGAAACGGCGGGCGCTTTTCGGGACATTTTTTGGCGCGAATTCGCTTGAAAATGCTGGTTTTCTCTGGGCCCTCCTTGTCTATCAGCGACCCTCTCATGTTGCCATGCTATTTCTACGTTTCTCGGACCTCGGAAGTGAGGGAACAGAGAGACGCAGACAGGCAGAAAACTGTCAAGTCAAAATGCCATGCGAATATTTTCAAAACCCCGCCGTTTCGAGCCGAAAATGAACTGTAAAAACTTTAAATTCGCGTTTTTAATATTTCATTTTTGTAGTATGACTATGACGGCTCGAAAGACACCAGACATCCCTGTCCCGAGGCCGCCTTGGCCTTCAGAAAAGGCGACATTCTGGAGCTTCTCGTGTGCAACGACGAGCATTGGTGGCAGGTAGATGATCGAAAAAGCTGCGAAAAATTAGGAAATTAGAGCTTTTTGAGCCTTTATTTGACTTTTTTGAACAGAAAATCGATAACTTTGAGCAATAAAGAAGATTTACTCACTGTTTTGATCTCAACTTGGTTTTTTCTTTAGGAAACGGTTTTTTTGTGATTTTTCAGTTGATTATCTTCCGAGAAATCCCCTCCCTTCGAAGCAGTTCCACTATTTTTATCCTTGGAGCGCATTTGACTAGGATCATGTGCATTTTTAACCTTTTTCGAGTATTTTTGCAGCTTTTTCGTATAGAAAGTCGTGACTACTTTTTCAAAAAAGCGAATATTTTAGGCCAGGAAAAAGCGAATTTTCAATCAAAAAAAGAAGATTCTCAATATTCTCTCGTCAAATTTGGTTGTCCGTTTTTTTGAAAACGGATTTCTCTAATTTTTTAGTTCATTTTCCGCCGAGAATTTCACTCTTTTTGAAGCAGTTTTCCCTGTTTTTTTATCTTTGGAGCGAATCTGACGAGAAAATGTGTTTTTTTCGCAACTTTTTATATAGAAATTTCGGCTGTGTTTTGAAAAAAAAAAGCAAATATTTTAGGCCAGATGCCTGGGAAGCGGCGCCCTGGCCCATGGTGAAGATCGGATACTCAGTGCGGCTCATGCTGGTGAATATTTGCGCTCGAGACCCGATAAATTCGAATAAAAAACTTTTTTCGCGACAAATTATAGTTGATTTACGGTTGTCTTAAGCTATTGAAAAATGGGTCCTGACACGATTAGATAGTACAGAAATTGTGGAGAGCCCAGACAGGTCACGCCTTTTTGAGCTTCAAGAACCAGCCTTATTTAGGAATTTTTGAGCGATCCCTGTAGGGGCAAGCTTTAGGCTCCTTTCTAAGGCACCCCTAAAGGGACCCCTGAAACTTGCAAAAGTGGCCCCTATAGTGAACATGCTAGGCGATTATTGTTGTGATGAATTTATCATGTTTGACTCTTAAGTAAGTTTTCAAATTAAATAAACCCCTCTAGGGACCACTTTACCTGCCCCTATAGAGACCACTGAAGCTTTCATAAGTGACCACTCCAGGGGAGCTAGTTGTTAAATTAGTCCGGTTTGTCTTTGTAATTTTTAAAATATAAAAACTCGAAAGACCCCTATAGGGACCTCTGTAGCTTCCCCTATAGGGGCTACTGAAGCTCACATAAGTGATCACTCTAGGGGTGTTAGTCGTTAAATTTTTCTTCTTATTTATTTATTTCTTAATGGTCAGAACAAAGCAAATAATTAGGGTACGTAATTTTTCAAATCTGAAAAAGACCCCTATAGGGACCACTCAGGCGTTTCCAAATAGCTTTAGGAAAGGATCCTCGATAGTTTTACAGCTTTTTCCACCAATGTTGTTTTCGCCCTCAAAGTGATCCCTTTAGGGAACGGCGTCGGATTACTCCGAGTCGGACTGATACCTTCAGAACTCCTACAACAGAAGACAAAACAGGCCGAAGAGAAGAAAACCCCGTCGAAAAATTGCTCAGAAGTGAGATTTTGAAGAAGACACTTCAGGGGTTTGTTCAAAATTTTAGAAATGAAGAATTTTAAGGACGATTTGTACTACGAATCGGTGTGCAGATGGACGAACAGGACGAATTTGGTCAGGCCCATTGTTCTGATTGGTCCGCCAGGTGTTGGGAGGTAATAACTAGGAAAAAAAGCCAGAAAAAAATAGTAAAGTGAAAAAGTTAATTTTCGAAAAATGTAGCTCAAAAATCGACGGAAAAGTGCTTTCTAGAATTTTTCAATAATCGTGCTTAGGAACTCCAGAGTGATCCCTATTGGTGCAACCTCAAGGGCCTTCAAAAGTTTCCTCTAGGGACCATTCTATTATAATGCCGTGTTCAAAGTAATTTCCGCGAAATGCAAAATGACCTCTGACTCTCCAAAATTTAGTGATCTTTTCCTTTCTCTAACGGGTGTTTTGCATTTCGCGGAAATTACTTTGAACACGGCATAAAAATCGTTTTCATGCGAAAATTTTGATTAATTAAGATTCTTGAAACGAAAAATAGCAACGGAGAATGATATGATCACGTTTTTTTAAAGCCTGAACGAAAAATTGAAAAATCCCTTTAGAGACTACTTGAAATTTAGGGACTTGGGGATTCTGAACCCCTATAGGGACCACTTGATTTTTTTAGCCCTCTCAAAATCATTAATTTTGTTCCCTCAAGGGGACTATTTTCTCCTTAGTCCCTATAGAGACCACTCTGGCGTTTTATAACGAGACTTTTCACAGTTTTCTTCTTGTTGCTTGCAAAAAATGAGGGTTTTTGGGATTCTGTCTACTTTTTCAATTAGATTCCGACCCTGCATCATTGAAGGGACCACTTGAATTTCAGCTCTCTAGGCATTATTTTGTTCCTTTTAGGGGGCTGTCTTTCTCTAACCACTTTAGGGACCACTATGGCGTTTTATAGTGAGATTTCTCTGCAATTTTCTTCTTGTTTATAGAAAAAAAAATGAGCATTTTTCTGAGATTGTGTCTATTTTTTCCAACAAGTGTTCCGACCCTGAATCCCTATAGGGACGACCTAAATTTTAGCCCTCTAGGGAGCGTTATTTCGTCTCCTATAGGGACTATTTCCTCTAACCCCGCTAGGGGCCACTCTGGCGTTTCTAAGTGATATTTTTCCGGGATTTTCTTCTTGTTGCTAGCAAAACTTGAGGATTTTTCTGAGATTTTGTCTGTTTTTTCAATTAGGGATCCGACCCTGAATCCCTATAGGAACCAATTAAATTTTAGCTCTCGGGGGAGCACTATTTTGTCCACTATAGTGGCTGTTTTTGCCCTAACCCCTCTAGGGACCGCTCTGGTGTTCCTAAGAGAGATTCTGGAATATTATTCAATTCGGTAGCAAAATGAGGGTTTTGAATAGTTTTTTTCAAGTTTTCCAATTAGAGGTTCGACCCTAACCCCTATAGGGACCACTCTGGCGTTCCTAAGAGAGATTCTGGAATTTCATTAATTTTGGTAGCGAAATGAGGATTTTTCTGTGATTTTCTTTAGTTTCCCAATCAGAGGTTCGACCCTATAGGGATCACTCAATTTTTAGCCCTCTAGGGAGCATTTTTTCATAGATTTTGCCTATTTTTCCGGTTTTTCTTGCTTACCATAGAGTTCTTTATTGACTTTATAGTATTTTTTATTCAGAAATGAACTGAAAAGACGGTTATTAATGTTGTTCCCTGAGCGATTCTCAACGACGGTCCCTCACACGACAAGGCCTCCTAGGTTTTTTTCCGAGATTATTGTACCTCGAATGAGAAAATTGACCTTGCAGACCTGGAGAAGTTGAAGGAGTCGACTATTATTTTGTGGAACGAGGCGAAATGGAGGAAATGATCGAAGAGGATCAAATGCTCGAGTTTGGAGAGTTCCGAGGTGATTTTTCGGGGTTTTACTTGGAAAAGGGGATGTTGGAAATATTTTTCGACATGTGGAAAATCAAGTTTTAGCATTTTAAAAAGCGGGAAGTTCGAAAAATTCAGTTTATTTCACTTTTTCGTGACTAGAAAAACGAGTTTTTAAAACTATTTTATGCCTTGACCACATTTTTTTTTTTGACCCACTAGATTCAATGGAAATCGAGTTTCTGCGGAAAATTCTAGTGGCCACTTAAGAAATGGAAAGGACGCTGAAGCCCCTATTCTACATCTTAGTGGTCACTATAGTAGTTTGAGTAGCCCCGTAGTACCTCTTAGACTTCTTAAGGAACCGCTAATTTTCAGCCACTATATCTACCACTATAGTGGTCACTTAAACGCTAAAACCCCAAAGTGGCCACTAAAATTGTGCCAATTTAGCACTTTGATAACGGGAAAATTCTTAAAATTCACTTGATTTTTTTTTTTCCAATCCGAGGTTAAAACTTCAATTTTTAAAGGTTTATTAGCTGCCTGATGAAATTTTAAGTGGCCACTTAAAAAGGTCCCTCAAGGACTACTTGAAGACTTTGCGTCTTAAGGGGCCACTGTAGTTATTTTCAGTTTAGGCTCAATTTTTACTTAAGGGATTACTAATTAGGCTACAATAGTGACCACTAAAAAGTCAAAACCCTAAAGTGGCCACTAAAAATTTCTTCAGGTTCATATTAAGAAACGCATATTTTGCCAATCCATGGAGTTTAAAATCTAGTTTTCAAAGATTTATTAGCTTTTTATGTAGCAAAGTTTAGTTGATTTTTTTTTCATGTAGTTCAAAATTCAATTTTTAAAGATTTATTAGCCTTTTATGATTGAACCTGCTGCAAAATAACTAGAAAAGAACCGCAAAAAACGATCCTGAAGCTTAAACTTTTTTACGGTTTGTATCACGTCTCTGAAAGAACTTCTCCTCAGGAAACTTGTACGGAACGGCGCTTTCCGCCGTGAGGAAGGCCCGAGAAAAAGCGACGCCTCTTTTGACACCACATCCCTTGGCTTTGAGGCACCTCAGAACTGCGGAATTCTCGCCGATCCTCATTTTTGTCCAGCCGCCAAGCTTTGAAGTCTTCAAGGTTTGTAGAACTTCAAACAAAGGGTTTTTTGGAGTAGGTAGCGACATTTTTTTTCTTCTGGAGTTGGAATTCTCAAAAAATTCGGTTAGTTAGAGGTTTGATTTTGTTTTTTTCAGATAAAAATCGGACTTTGATAACGAGAACCAGGCGTTTTTGAGCGAATCTAGGGATCGTTTAAGAGTTCTTAAGATACTAAAGTGGTCACTTGAAAAGTCCCTAAACGTCCGATTCGCGTTACCAGTGTCCGAGATAACGTTAATCTTCAGTTTTTCGTTTCACTTTGATTTTTGTTTATCTAGTCAGACAACTGGTTTCCTGAGCTGCTTCTACTCGAATCTTGGTCTATCCTCATGTTTTTTATAAAGTTTTACTTGCTCCGAAAGAAAAAGCCGCTAAAACGTTGCACTTTTATACTAACCTTCACGAAATAATCGGGAAAAGAACGTAAATAGAACTGTCATTTACAATAATTTTCTTCCAAAGAGCTTTCTGGAATTTTTCTTAGGTACACTAAGATCTGTTTCAAAAGGTTCTTTTTTTCCCGCAGTGGTTTTGGGAGCTTTCAAACGACTAGAAAACCTTCGAAACCCTGTTCTGAAGAAACTCCAAACTCTTGAACGATTCAGCTACTCTTTCCAGGAGTCCCGAGAAGCTTTCCGAGCGCGAATGGCTCGCGGATCCACCGCCTCGCCTGGCCCGACCAGCCGCGGTTTCACGGACGCCGAAGTCCGTCAGGTGCTCACCAACGCCGCCAACCTGGAACACGCCTACGGGCACATGTTCGACGCGAGACTGGTCAACGCCAATCTGGAGGATTCCATGAGCAATCTCATCAAACTGCTCCATTCATTAGAGTCCAAGCCCACTTGGGTCCCTTTGAGCTGGGCGACGAAATGTGTCGATTGAGCTTTACCTTCATTCATGTACTATTTGATTTTCATCTTTTTTATTACTTTGAACTGACTGGCTCCTTGAGTGGCCACTTAAGGGATTTTAATGCAAAATGTCCGTTTTGAACTAAAAAATTAGGACTAATTGCATAGGTATGCTTTTAAGACACATTTCCGAACGCAAGACCCTTAAGCGGTCACTTGGGAAATCACTCAAAGAGGCTACTTTAGGCGCCAGAACTGGCTACTTCAGTTTGATGGAACCTCTGAAGGGGTCACTTTAGGCTTCTGACCCTTCAAGTGGTTACTCTAGTTCGCCGGAATCCCTGAAGTGTCCACTTTAGGCTTCTAAATCATGTTCTTGTACGAAACCCTTGAGTGACCTCTTCAAATTGCTTGTAATGGATTCTTGAGGGCTTTAAGAAAATAAAATGATTTTCAGAACTCTTAAGTAATCGAGTTTCTCAACCCTTAAAGGACCACTTATTTCTTATTCTTCATCAAATTCGTCCCATAAATTGCCAAGCCTTTTACGAATTTGCTTCATGTGCTATATTCCTTCCAAAATCGCTCAAAGTGGTCACTTCAGTGCTCAGAGATTCAAAGCACTCAAGTGACCACTTATCTTCACTTTTTTCATGCTGTTCTGACGCCCAGAAAATGCTCAAAATGGTCACTGTCAACCCTCAAGTGACCACTTGCCAAAACATTATTCCACTCATTTATTATTCTTGTTTTAGTTGGCTGTGATTTTGTTATATTTCCATGTCCTATGTATATTTTTTGACAGTTTTTTGATTTATTTCCTATTCTTGTTCTAATTTTGTTTGCTCTCCAACATGACGATCATCCGCTACCGTATCTCACTTTCTCCTGCTTGCTACAGTATGCTTTAAACATTGAAAGAAGCTTTCATTTATACATGTTAATCCAATCGAAACACAAGGAAACCCGTGAAAAACCGAAAAAAAGCGCTTTTCCAGGAAATTTACAAAGTTACTGTAGGCATAGTTGTACCGTAATCCGGGGAATGTATCACAAAATGAGAGATTGTGGGCTCTGGATACTGTAGGTTTACTGTAGGAGGAAAAGAAGCCAAGAAACCGTAGAAAATCACTATGCAAAGACAAAAGTTTCGAATCAACCTGTAGGGATTTTTTTTCTTGAGCTAGAGAAGATCTCTGCGTCTCTCCATTTCACATGTTGTCTCCATTTTTGCTCTAGCTTCTCTAATACTCGGTGATGAGGCAAAGGCGTTTGACGATTTTTTTGAAAGCCGTCCGGAAATCCTGCGAGAAGACCGTGTAGATGATCGGGTTCAGCGCCGAGTTTAGGTACCCTGAAAAGTTATTTTTTATTTAATTTGTGAGAAAATCGGAGAGAAAAGGCTTATTTTCATTTAAAATAGGCTGAACTTGAAAAAGAGCTAGAGATCATGCAAAAATGAGAGACACCAGACATAGAGAGCAATTTTTCATGCGTATCTGTGTCTTTTCTTTTTCCATACTCTCTAAAATTAGAAAAAATTCGTCATTTTCTGAGTTGAATGACTGAAAGATGAGCTAGAGAGCATGTGAAAAGGAGAGACACCAGACATCGAGAGCAACTTTTGTCTGAACGCTCCTCTTTTTCTATACTCTCTAACTGAAAAATATTTTTTGGGCGCATAAAGAAGACTTAAGTGATCACTTAAGGGAATTCAAAAGTCTTTTTCCTGTATGTCTAATGTCTCCATATTTTCTGTACTCTCTAGAACTTCCAGAAGCATGACTTTTAATGTGACTTTACTACTTCAAACAAGCAATATTAAAATCATTTCGTTATTCCCCTAATATCCTCCTTTCTTCACAAGGAAATAAGACTATAGTGATCCCTAGAGGGGTCTACGTCAGAAAATGGTAAAAAAAATATACCCAGCCAAGAGGTGACCTGCTCGACTACAGGCGGGATCGAACAACCGCAAATCGGTCGGTACAGAGAAACCAGGAAAAATGGCGTCCAACACGCCACGAAAGTTCCTGAAAATTGCTCACATTACCCAGGTGTTGCTCATTTCAGGATCCACCTGTAATTATGGCCAATGTCCGCCACGCTTTCCTCTCCCGTTGATTTTCCGGCGTTTCCTTTGGCCGCCTTTTTCTTTTCATCAGACCGCCGCTTGACGATCTTTTTGCATCTGAACAGGGTGGCTGAGTGGCTGAGAGCAATTTTTAAGATCTGGGGGTCTTTGTTTCGAATCCTGTTCAGGAAAAATCTTTTTTGCAGATATTCAACTAGCTTGAAAATTAATTTTCTCCTTCTTTAGCTCCCGATAAACGATCTTTTTGCATCTGAACACGATGGCTTAGTGGCTAAGAGAATTTATAAGGATCTGGAGGTTTTTGGTTCGGATCCTGTCGAGAGAAAACTAATTTTTACCATTTTGGTATTCATTATTAAGCTGAAGTCTGAATAATATGTATTCAAAAATCTAATTTTTTTACGTTCTTTATGTGAAAATTAGGTTTGAGAGCCTTTTTTCATTATGATATTACCAAGATGAAGAAGGCTCAGTGGCTCAGAGCTTCGGTAGAGATCTGTAGGTCTTTGGTTCGCTTCCGGGTCAGGGAAAATATTTTTTTGCCATTTTTTTGAACTTTGAAAATTAAGTTTTTCTTTCGAAAAATCCTCTGATCAGTACTTTTTCACTTTAGAGACGTTCTAGACCTCTTGAATCAATGTGGCCGACTGGCTAAGAGCCTTGTTTTCAACTCAGAAGGTCCCTGGATCAAATCCTGATCTTGTTTCTTTTTTTGCAGTCTTTTTTGCAAAATTCTTTTTCTTCCTAGTCCTTCTCTACTCTGGCCCCTTGCCAAGTCAATGAATAAGAAAAGTTTTGCAAAAAAGCTCCCAGAAAAACAAATCGGATTTCGTTACGTATCACGGCCATGCGGACGACAAATTCAATTTCGGTTCGTCTTGATTTTTTTCTTCTTCTCCTTTTCACTCTTGAGAAGAAGCCGAAGACCAAGTTTCTCTTCTTCAGAGGACGGACGTTCTTTTGGTCTTCATGAGAGGACATCTTTGCAGAAAAAGGACAAAAAATGTGATTTTTTCCAGTTTCTCAATGCAGTTTTCAACGGAAAAATGAGAATTTCAGTTCTGAAAGTTCAAAAATTCAGAAAGGCCTAACCATTACTGTCGAGTTTGGTCTCCTGTGTATTTTCGTGGGTTACGGTAGCCGTCCGTTCTTCCTCCGACTGTGTAGATGAACTTGAGTCGGGCCGATGATGATTGTGGTGGTGATTGTGCTGAAAAACAGATTGGTAGAGAGGCTAGGGAGCTCGTCTCTTGATCGGAGGGTCTTTGGTTCGGATCCCATCGAGGTATTTTTCGATTTTCGGCCTTTTTTATATATTTTTCTGACTCAATTAGAAAGAAATAAGAGTGTTATATGATCATGTGGCCATTCATTAAGATCAGACGGTTCTTGGTTCGGATCCTCTCAAGGTATTTTTCCTTTTTGCCATTTCTTTTTTAGCTTCTACCGTCTTTTTTGGAGGAATCTAGGAGATTTATTTTTCCATGTGTCTATTCACTAATATCAGAGGGTCCTTGGTTCGGATCCGACAGAGGTAATTTTTGATTTTTGCCATTATTTTAGCTCTTGCTGGCTCTATTAGGAAGAAAAAAGAGAGTTATTTGGTCATGTGGCTATTTATTAAGATCACAGGGTTCTTGGTTCGGATCCCATCAAGGTATTTTTCCTTTTTGCCATTTCATTCTTGCTTCAATAAATTTTCTAGGTGAACTTTTTGGACTGCGATCCGATTTTGATGATAATTTTCTGAAGAAAAAAAGTTTGAAAAAGAACTTTTTTTAGACTTTGATTAAAATTTTTTTCCAAAAAAATTTCCTAGTTTAAAAAAACCTTTACTGTTGCATCAAGACTTGTTATTTTTAATACATCGATAGTTTCGATGATCTGATGGATGCATATGTAGAAAAACTTTCAGAACGATTTGGACAAAAAAATTATTTTTTCTCAAGCAATTTTTATTTCTAAATTTCCAATGAAGTTCTTTTTTTAAATAATTTTCTGCCGATTTTAAACTTGTCAAAATTGAAATTCACCTTCAAAAGTGTATAAACTTACCTTTCGTGTTATCCAAAAATCAAAAAACGGGAAATATTTTTTTAAGTACAAAAAAACACTAACTAATCGTTTCTCACTCAACTGTTTCAACTACTATTCAAATTTAGTTCTTTCAAAAAAGTTTGATTTTTGGAATTTATTCTTTCGTCACAGCCGAAAAAAAAGCGCGGAAAACGGGTGGAAAATGGCCGCTAAAAGGGTTCCGTTTCGCGGCTTTTATTGAGCCTTCCTTTCTTGGTGGGCTGAAAAGTCTCAGAAAAGGTTGAAAAAAAGGTGAAGAAAGAGTGAGGGTGCAAAAAGGGTGCTGAAAGTCTCGGTCATCGATGATTTCCGATTTTATTACTGTAGCCCATTTAAGTTCATAGAAAGCCACTGGTAAACATTATTCTCAATTTAAAAACTTCTGTGTTTCTCAAAAGGGTCCAAAAAGAGTGAATGAAGGCCGATGAAAGGACGGACAAGGGTAGTGAAACGGAAACCTTTTCCACCTGTTTAGGAGCAATTGATGGAAATTTTTTGATGCACAACTGACGCTCAAAGGGACCGTAAAAAGCCTGTTTTTTTTTTCAAATTTGCTCCTTAAGCTTTTCTGTAAAACGAAGTCGACGCACCGCCTTTCAAAAAATGAAAAAAAGGGAAAAAAAGCTACCAAAATATTTTAAAAACTCAAAAAAGGGTTATTATTACCTTGACGGTGCCATTCCTGCCGTCAGAAGGCGTCGTCGCGGAAACACCGTTCCGATTGATATCAGTGATAACGACGGCAGGTGGTAAAGGTATCTGAAATCAAGAAAATAACTTATTTTTCAAAGGGAAATTCCTTTCATGGAGAAAAAGATAACAGAAAAAGTTTGAAAAACCTTTTTTTCTGCTTATTTTACTGCAATTTTTGCGTATTTGAGCGCCAATTTTGAAAAAGTTTTGTTTTTTAGAAAACCAAGAACTTAAAAACACAACAGCGTTGTTAATAAAAATCAAAAACATCCGAAAAAAACGAAAGAAATCTTAAAAGAAATGATTAAAAAAATCAATTTTTCTACGTAAAGGATTAAATAGCCTCCCTACGGCAAGTATGTACGCTCCATTGATAAAATCGTACTTCTTTTTTTCTTATTTTACAAATTTTTTTATTCGTTTTTTTCTAGAGAATAAAGTTAAAAAGGGTCTTTTTGAAACAAACCATGTACAAAAAAATCAACATTAAAAAAATTTTCAGATGTTTACAAAAAAATTGAAAGATTTTTTTTACAATGTTCAGTTGTGTGATAAAAAAAGATGAGATTGATGCTCAAAGAATAAAGAAAAAACCAACTTTTTTATTCTTTTTATTGATGAGCGGCGCTTTTTTGTCATCGACCACGTCGGGCGGCGGTCGAATCACCGTCCGTCGGTCTCTTTCTCTTTTAAATCTGAAAATAATCACTTAAAGTTTTTTTTTCAGTTTTTATCTACTAAATTTGGAAGCCCAGTGGAAAATCTACTTAAAAATGCAAATTTTCGAAAAAAAAAGGGAAAAATCAGGAAATTAACACTCATCCCGTTTTCAGTAGTACTTCAGAGTGGTCCCTATAGGGGCCACTTTAAGGGCCCTTGGAGGGTCCAGGGCCCCTATAGGGATCCTGCTGGTCGATAATTGTTGCGAAGAAGCATTTCCATTGGATAAAACGAACAAAGAAGCGTTTTTTAAATGAAATTGAGAAATCCCTACAGGGACCACTTGAGCTATAGGAGCTGAAGAATCATACCCCAAACCCCGAGAGGGACCAACTTGATTTCACCCCTATAGAGACCACTTTTTCGACCCCTATAGGGACTTTTTTCCACCCTAACCCCTATAGGTATAAGTTACGTTTCAGTTGAGTTACATAATTCGAAAATGAGTATATATGTATTCGTCGAATTGCAATATATACAGCTAGATTGATTTCAATAACATCAGATTCTACCTCATTGTTGCTCATCTTAACTCACCTTTTCTTAGCGGCTCTCATGATTTTCCAATAGACGCCGATGATGGCGATCAACGGGATGTAGAAGGCCGTCGCCGTTGAGAAAACCTGGAATAAAAAAGAATTTAGAGTCATTTTTTTGAGAGGCCTTTTTTTATTCGAGTTATTTTGTCCAAGGCTAGATTTTAGTTGGCCAAAAAAGTCAACATTAATTTTTTTTTTATTTTTCAAGTCTTCTGAAGAATTTTGCAATAGTGAAAGTTATCTACATAGCGGTTAAAAAGTGTTTTTGGCCGCGGCTATTTTTTCCGAGTGAAATTGCTCCGCGGCTATTTTTTCGAGTGAAACTGCTCCGCGGCTATTTTTTCCAAGAAAATCGCTTCACGGCTATTTTTCCGAGTAAAATTGCTCCGCGGCTATTTTTTCGAGTGAAACTGCTCCGCGGCTATTTTTTCCAAGAAAAATCGCTTCACGGCTATTTTTCCGAGTAAAATTGCTTCGCGGCTACTTTTTCCGAGTAAAATTGCTCCACGGCTATTTTTTCCGATAAACATCGCTTCATGGCTATTTTTTCTGATAGAAATCGCTCCGCGGCTATTTTTTCCGAGTAAAATTGCTCCGCGGCTATTTTTTTCCAATAAAAATCGCTCCGCGGCTAATTTTCCACACAAGTTTTTCCAATTCATTTGAAAATTTTTGAGGCTATTTTTTCACAAATTTCACTTGCAGGTTTTCTGGCCGCGGCTATTTTTTCCCATTAATTCCACGGCTGACTTTTATTTTCTTTTTTTGATTGAAGCTATTTTTGCGGCTTTTTTTGCTGGAAGCTATTTCTACCAAGGCTGAATTTTTCAAAATTCCCAAAAAAATTTTTTGAGATCCGGCTATTTTTTTCCTCACTGTTTTTATCTATTGCAAAAAAATCGCATTTAAAAAAATATATAAATATACAATTTTATCACTAACTTCCAACATAGAAACCAAATTCCACTCATTTTCCATCACTTCCCCTCAAAAATCCTCTGGAAACCCCCCGGAAACTTGAAACTCTACTCAAAATCGCTAAAAATCCCCAACGGGGCTCGGCCAGCTTATCTCGTCAAAAAACGTCCATTTCGGCAGTTTTAAAGGGACTTAAAACGAACCTAGCCAAGGGGAAAAAAAACAAACGACAAAAAAAAAGAAACTCTCTGGGGTTTGGGAAATGATGGAAAACGTCGTGTGTGGTCCATTTCTCCAATTTCTCTTTTTTTTTTTGTTCCTTTTTCCGCCGGAAACCCACCAAACGAACGGAAGAATAGAGCGGACGGAAAAAAAGAAGAGTTAATAGCCTATTTGACAGATTTTTTTCTGCTTTTCTGAGCAAAAAAATGAAAAAAAGTATTGGAGGTTTTTTTGGGGGTTCGCTTTTTCAAATCAATTTACCAGTTTCAAATAAAAAGTTCTAATGATTTGAAATATTACAAAAAAAGAGAATTTTCCTGTTAAAAAAATATTTTTCTCAATAAAGCGCACAAACTGGCGAATTTTTGAGCCTCTTAAACTGTTTGGCTCGAAATTCTCGTCATTTCTATTGAATTCTGGGTCCCCTTTCGTTATGTTTTACCAGAAAAAAATTTTTTTTTCTCTTTTTATCGAAAAAAATCAGGCCAAAAAAAAATTTTTCTATCTAATCCAAAAACTGAAAAATTCAAAAATAAATTTTTTTCTCTACGGAGCGCACAAGGTCACCAATTTAGAGCCTCTTCTCGTTTCTTAACACTACGCGACTCGAACTAATTCGTATGCGTCCCAGAAAAACGTGTTTTCTCAATGGAGCGCACAAAGTAGCGAGTTTTGAGCCTCTTATGTTTCCTTAACGTTACCGGGTTCAACTTTCTTTGTTTTCTTTCCACGAAAAGCATTTTTCTCAATGGAGCGCACAAACTGGCAATATTTCAGCCTCCTCTACTTAACACTAGCTAACTATGAATTTTTCGAATTATTACAGGAAAAAAAAATATTCTTCTCAATGGAGCGCAAAAGTTGGCGATTATATAGCCTCCTGTTGTCTTTAACACTACCTAGCTCTAACGTTTCCGTATACTTTACGGGAAAAAATTTTTTCTCAATGGAGCGCACATACTGGCAACATTTCAGCCTCTTCTCTTTAACCGTACCTAATTCCAAGTTTTTAGAATTACAGGAAAAAAATATATTATTCTCAAAGGAGCGCAAAAGTTGACGATTTTCAAGCCTCTTAGCAATACCTACCTCTAACTTTTCCGTATATTATTTTACTAAAAAATTTTCTCAATGGAGCGCAAAAAGTGGCAATATTTCAGCCTCCTCTACTTAACACCACCTAACTCAAAAATTTCCACATTTTTCCCAAAAAATAATTTTCTCAATGGAGCGCAAAAACTGCCGAATTTTGAGCCTCTTTCTCTATCTGATTAAAATGTCTCGTCTTTTCCACTAAATTCCAAGATCCAGGTCCCCTTTCCATTCAGTTTTTACTAGGAAAAAATCACATCTCACTTCAAACAGGGAACATCTTTTTTTCTGCTCCTCCTCCTCCTTCCTTTCTTCTTCTTGACAAGGAAGACTAGTTGTGTGCGGAGAGTTTAATGGAATTCGCTCGAGAGCCTCTTCGGAAGATGCCCAAAAATGGTCAAAGATCCTTGTTTCTTCGAGCCTTATTTCCTTACGGGAGCAGGAGAAGAAAGGAAGAAGAAAAAAACGGCCGCTTAATTGGCTTCGAGTGCCATTGGAGCATTTTTTCCAAGATTTTTGCAAAATTTGGAGGCTATTCTTGTCCTCTGCAAAATGATGTGAGTGACGGTTAAAGTTCAAGGTTTTGAAAAATGATTTTTAGATCGATGACGTCATTTTTTCACCATCTCATGAGTTTATTATGTCATCTCTATCATAATCAGTTATTGAAGCTGAAAAATTGATTGATGACGTCACTTTTGACCCGGTTGTTACGTCAAAAGGAGAGGTGGGGGGCACTGATGTCAAAATGATGTGGATAACTGTAACACTCAAAAAAATTTTTTTGAAAAATGATTTTTAGATCAGTGACGTCATTTTTAAATCAACTCATGACTTTCTCATTAAAATCGATTTTTTTGAAAAACTGGTTGATGACGTCACTTTTGACCCGATTATGACGTCATAATTTGTAGGCTATACTTGCCCTCCGTGAAATGATGAAGACATCGATAAAAGTTCGAATTTTCAAAAAATGATTTTTAGATCAATGACGTCATTTTTTACCAACTTATGACTAGATTACTTGTTCTTCATCATCATAACAGAATATTAAAGCCGAAAAATTGCTTGATGACGTCATTTTTCTCGGTTATGACGTCATTGAGCTTTTGGAACAAACATAAACTTTACTAGAGGTGTACTGTAACTGATTTAATTTCAAATTTACGTAATTTTTTTTGGATCATGACGTCATCCAATATTCAGATAAATCGAAAAAAAGTTTCTTGAGCTCAAAATTCGATTCGTTTTCTGTCTAAGCAAGATTTCTGAAGACTTTAATGGAAAGTAACATGACGTCATAATCGATCAATAAATTTACCATCCTCCTCAAAAAAATCGGTCATTTTTTTCTATAAATTATACTAACTAAGATCTTTTTTGCTTTGAAAAAAATCCATTTCAAAACTCTCAAAAAGCACAATCGCATGCGAAACGCAACATTCGATCAAATGTCTGGACGGAAATTCAATCTTTTTTGAATAGAGTCTACGTTTAACAAAAGCTTGGCTGTCACGATATTTGTTAGGCCAAAAAAATGATCGAAAATAGCGTCTATAAAATGATATCCTTTTTCCGTTGAAATGAATATTGGAAAAGTGAGAAAGTGGAAAATAAAAAAGCTTTAAAATAAAGAAAATGACGTCATCCAGAAACTGATAACGTCATTATCGTCTGACCACAAAGTGACGTCATATAAGGTAGCTATTTTGGAACCATTGGAAAGATCAAACTACAGACAAAACAGCTGATGGCTTGATTTCAGATTTAATAGCATAACTTCTTGAGGATCTCCTTGGCCGAATGACGTCATTGATCAAAAAAATGACGTCACTTTCACTCATTTTTATGACGTCACTTCTTATCTCAAACTACAAGCCTAACTTAATCGGCTGGCTGATAAAAATTCTAGTTTCCGGGGCATATTCCCCGAGGGAGTTCGCTTTCAAATGACATCATCTAATTGAATAATGACGTCATTCTATTCAATTTATGACGTCATCTCCAACCCCTAGAAGCTAACCTGATAGCTGATAGCCTGGCTGATGAAAATTTCAGTTTCCAGGGCGTATTTTTCCAAGAATCACTACAGGCAGAATGACGTCATTGTTTATAAATAATGACGTCATTCCATTCAATTTATGACGTCACTTCCAACCCCTGGAAGCTAACCTGATAGCTGATGAAAATTTAAATTTCCAGGGCATATTTTTCGAGGAACTACGCCTTTAATTGACATCATCTAATTGAAGTAATGACGTCATTTCATTCATTTTTATGACGCCATCTCCAACCCCTAGAAGCTAACCTGATAGCTGATGGCCTGGCTGATAAGACAGACGTGCTGCTTCTCGACCCGATCCCCGAAACCGTCGTCTTTCCATCCGGCAAAGGGGGCCAAACTGATCAGAAGTGACGTCAGCCAAATGACGGCCAACATCAGGGTGATCCTTCTTGGGGTCCGGTTCTGCACATAGGAGATGTCGGTGACCGACCAGTATCTGGAAGGAAACAGAGTAGGATGGAGTCGGGTGCAGTAAAATCTCTTCCTTTGAATATTCGAAAAAATATTGGAACCAAGATTGAGAAGGGTTATAGCTTTTGGAATATGAGAAAGGGAGAAACCGGAAAAAGTCGGGGGCACTGAATGACAAAATCCTTAACAAGCTAAGGCTTCAGCATGTAGGTTTTGGGTCACATTTTTGAATAATTTTGATGACCTTCTGTAGAATCTCAAAAAAACCTGTCCAAGGCGATGGCGACGAGATGAAGGATACTGGCGGTGCAGACGAGAACATCGACGGAGATCCAGAAATCGCAAAGGACAACCCCGAGTTTCCAGGCGCCAGTTACGGTGTTCCAGGCTCCCAACGGCGTCACGATTAGACCAACCTGCATAGAAATTATATAGGTAAAGTATTTTCTGAGAAATCTATCATTTTTTGAGGTTCTTCTCCGTCATTATAACTTCCAAAAGCGTCCGAAAAAAGCTCTACTGTTGCCCTTTTTTGAGCCATTCCAAATGCTGCCAAATTTGACTTTTGAAATTTGTTTTCTCAAATCTCTTAAAGAGAACTGTTCCGACGTTACTACAAGCTTAAAATCATGAAAATCCTTATTTTCTTTAGCTTTCTCAGTGCTTCGAGCCATTCCAAATGCGACCAAATTGAACTTTTTCCTTTTATTGATCCATCAATTAACTCTTTAGGAACTGTCCAAAAGCTATTACATGATTGAAAATCATATAAAATACTTATTTTTCTAGCCTCCACAACTCTTTGAGCCATTCCAAATGCTGCAATTTTTGACTTTTGCCAAAACTTTTTTTAATAATCCTGCTTTCCAAATTCCTCAGAACCAACTTTCGTAATACTATTAAAAGCCGAAAATCTTGAAAAATCCTCATTTTTCCAGATTATTCAACTACCTGAGCCATTCCAAATGCGGCCATTTTTGACTTTTGCCAAAACTTTTTTTAATAATCCTGCTTTCCAAATTCCTCAGAACCAACTTTCGTAATACTATTAAAAGCCGAAAATCTTGAAAAATCCTCATTTTTCCAGATTATTCAACTACCTGAGCCATTCCAAATGCGGCCAGATTTGACTTTTTTTGAACTTTTTCTGATTTTCCCTATCGATTCGCTTTGAACAAATTGTTTCAACGTTATTACTAGCTTAAAAATAATGAAAAATCCTTATTTTCCCAGATAATGCAACTTTAAGCCATTCCAAATGCGACCAAGTTTGAATTTTTTAAACTTCTTTCATTTTAATCGCTTTCAAATCGCTTTCTAACGCTATCAAAAGCCTAAAAATTTTGAAAAATCCTCGTTTTCCTAAATTATTCAATTACTTGAGCCATTCCAAATGCGGCTAGCCTATTTCCTGATTTTTTAATATTTTTCAAGCTTAAAAATCTCCCCTCTTCCAACAATCGTTCTGTCGAAAAATATTAGTCCACACGTCACACACCAAGAAAAATCCTGAAATCCGAGCTTTTTCTCGCGTGCGCAGAACCAATTAGGAAATGCGCGGCGAAAGAAGAAAAAAGGTGGGACAGAAACGACGAAAACGAAGCTTATCAGGATGTTTTCGACATTTTCCGACACGACTAATTTGGCGCGGAAACTAGGCGAGAAAAGGGCGAATGGCCTTCCAAGAGAGTAAAGTTCTCAAGAAAAAAAAGTAGCTCTGAAAAATTATCTTGGAAAATGTCTTCAATGCATCAGAGTTATTAAAAAACACTTTATCGATTGATTTCTCTTGGTCAAGGGGATTAGAACGTTTACTTATGTAAAAAGACTCTCTGGTTCGACTCGTGTCTAGGTTTTTGCCATTTTAAATCTGAGAGCCGGAAACTAGACTTTCTAATGTTTTATAGGACGCTTCTTCTGTATGAAAAGACTCTCTAGTTCGACTCCTGTCGAGGTTTTTGCCATTATAAAGCTGAGAGCCGGAAAATAGACTTTCTGAAGTTTTATGGGACGCTTCTCCAGTATTAAAAGACTCTCTGGTTCGACTCCTGTCTGTGTTTTTGCCATTTTGAAAATGAAAGCTGAAAATTTCACATTCTGATGTTTTTATTTTTTTAATCAAGTGGCTGTGAACTTTCCCTGTATGAGAAGGCTCTCTGGTTCAACTCCTGTCGGCGTTTTTGCCATTTTAAAACAGAAAACTTGAAAATTCGCTTTCTGGTGTTTAATTTCCATTATCCAACGACTAGAGAGTTTTTTCTGGGTGAAAAAGCTCTGCAGCCCGTTTTTTGCCCATTTTTGTCCCAATTTTAGCAATTACACAACTTTGAAGCCTAGTAAGTAGCTGATGAGCATGAAGAAACTCTCTGGTTCGACTCCTGTTTAGGTTTTTGCCATTTTAAATCTGAGAGCCGGAAAATAGACTTTCTGAAGTTTTATGGGACGCTTCTCCAGTATTAAAAGACTCTCTGGTTCGACTCCTGTCTGTGTTTTTGCCATTTTGAAAATGAAAGCTGAAAATTTCACATTCTGATGTTTTTATTTTCTTAATCAAGTGGCTGTGAACTTTTCCTGTATGAGAAGGCTCTCTGGTTCAACTCCTGTCGGCGTTTTTGTTATTTTGAAGCTTAAAATCGGGAAATTCGCTTTCTGAGGTTTTACTTTAATAATCTAATGTCTAGAGAGCTTCGCCTAGGTAAAAAAAAAGCTACTCAGCCCGATTTTTGCCCGATTTTGGCCCGAAGCTAGCGATAACACAACTTTGAAGCCTGGTAAGTAAGCTGAGATGCATAAAGAAACTCTCTGGTTCGACTCCAGCCCAGGTTTTTGCCATTTTCCAACTCAGAACTGGAGCTTCGACACCTTGAAGCCCGATGAAACTGCTTGCGGGGCTAAAAAGCTGAGAATATATGGAAAAAAACACTCTTTGGTTCGACTCTAGCCCCCGTTTTTGCCAAATTTAGCCATTAAGCTTTTCGATTAGAGCTCATTTTTAAAAAATTGGATCGTTCAAAACCTCGTCATGCTATTGCCAATATCAATCTTCAAAATAATGGCCCAATCTTCTCCCAACAAAGTCCCTAGTCGTTCCAATATCCCGCATAATTCCGACAGCCATATTCGGATGCCTGCTCATGTCGCCGCCGACAGTTTTGATTGACGGTTGTTTCTTTTTTTCTTCTTTTGCTTTCTCGGCTTCCTCACCAAGCACATCAAAGCGTTTCTCCAATGACATTTCTAATGGCCTCTCGGCTTTCCGCCGCCAAAAGCAAAAAAATGGGAGAAAAACGACATTTTTGGCAGCCGTTCTTCTTTCTTTCACATTCGGTTTCTGATGCCTTTTTGTCCTTGGTATTAGTTTCAAGACGTCAAAAATGTGAGAGGAGAAGATGGCTTAAAAAGAGGGTTTGGAAGCTGAGAAATGGCAAAAACGGGGCAAGGAATCGAACCAGAGACCTTCTGAGCGACATTTAGTCACACTGGACGGAATCAAACTCTAATTATTTTTCTTCAAACCACAAAAATGGCAAAAACGTGCTGAGGGATCGAACCAAAGAGTCTTTTATCTCTATTCAATGCTTTCGACCACTCGGTTATCCATATAAAACCCTCTTTTCTCAAGTTTGAAGATGGAAAATGGCAAAAAAACGGGGGGTGGAATCGAACCAGAGACCTTTTGAGCCACATTCGGTCCCACTGGATGGAACCAAACTCTAACCATTTTTCTTCAAAACGGCAAAAAAAGCGCTTCGGGATCGAACCAACGAGTTCTCCATACATATTCAATGCTGCCCTTTTTTATAAAATCCTTTGTGATTTGAAAAATGACAAAAACGAGGATAGAAGTTGAACCAGAGACCCTTCAACTGATGCTTCAAATTTTTAGCCACTTCACTATCGAGCTCTTTATTTTCCCACATTGAAAACTATAAAATGAAGCTTTTAGAGCTGAAGCTGGCTTTTCCAGTATGAAAAGACTTTCTGGTTCGAACCCCGTCGCGGTCAAAACTTTTTTGCCATTTTTTTCAAACTAAATTAAAAACAATCTAGAACCTTTTTCCTAGCTATATTAACACATGGCGATCAACTTCAAAAACTGAAAAAAATATTTTTTTAAAAAAACTTTCTATTTCGAAAATCCACAATCCAACTGAATTCGTTTCATTTTTCCCACAATTTTTTTGTCCATTTATAGAGAAAAAAAGGTCGCGACGCGTTGATGCATACATTGTGTGTGGCGCACAAAGTTTCTCGTTTTTTTGATGAAAATTCAGGTGTTTGAATGTGTGAAAGTTCAAAGAGGATCATTTAGGTGTGAAATTTCAAAGATCAACGAGTTTTTCGAGGGGGGAAATGTCTGGATTTGAGTATTAAAGAGCGTTTTTTGAGCTTTCAATTGTTTCTGGGAAGCTCGGAGTGGTCACTAAAGGGTTCAGGAAAATTTTGGAAGTGGAAAGAATCTTCCAAGGGGCCACTAAAGGGATGAGATCGGAAGCTGTCATTAAAGTATTAGGCTAGAACATTCTTTTAATCACTTAAGGGAACCCTTCAAATTTAAGAAGAGCCTACTTGAGTATCAAGTTAAGAGACCATATCATTGACCTTTCGAGATTTCTGGAAGACTCAAGGGATCACTTGAGGGGATCCTGCTTTGGTGCCTTAAGAAGTGGTTCTCCTGACCACTAAAGGAGTCACTTTAAAATAATAAGAGCCTAATTGAGATTACCGATTCAAGTCATCCTTTAAAGCAAGTTTTTCCATTAAGAGCCAATTTAGCAAAATCGCGTCTCTTTAAGCACCGAAAAAATTATTACTTAAGGGACCACTTGAGATTTCAAGATTTTTTTCTTTCAAATTCCCATTTTTTTGGCCTTTTTTTGAATTTTCATAAAAAAACTGTGCGAAATTCAAAAAAATGCAACTTTTATCACCTTTTCGTGCTAAATATCGACTTTTCGATACTATTTTTGCTCTTTAAAAATATTTTAAATGATAAGATAAATTTTCTACCTTTCTACTCAAAATACTTCCATGTTTCTTTGAAATTCTCCCTTTTTTTGAAAAAAATAACATCATCTCTATGAATTATTCAAAGGAAGTAGTCTAGTCTAGTCTCCAGGTAGCCCAAAGGTCAGGTAAATTCCAATTTTCGAGATTTTCGATTTTTCGGAAGAATTTCAGCCTTTCCACATGCATTATTTCAACAAAAAAAAACCTTCTGAAACTCAATTTTATCAAAATTTGTCTCCAAAAACCTGTCAAAACCCATTTTTTCGTCCTAAAAAGTTAATCAAATTTGCCCCCGTTCTTCTACAATTTCTCTTTCAAAAAAAAAGAGCTCAAACCAAAATTGGAAAACGCCAAAAATCTCATTTTCAGTCCAAGCTAATTTGCTTACGGCCGAGACCCTTTGAAAGCCAAAAAAACACTTTTTAATTGGGGTTCGGGGGCTGTAAAAAAAAGTTGTCCGAACATTTATGAAAAAAGCAAATTCGTACTTTGGTGACCGTGGATTACAAATCAAGAAAAAAATTATTAGTAAAATTCGGTCGTATAAAAAGCGGAGCAGAAAAGTCGTTTAGCTTCCATTGCTCATGTTAGCTCAGTTTTTATGACTAGTTTAAATTTTCAGATGATAAAAAATGGAGGTTAAATATCAAGCGTATTCTCGTGGCTCAGCTTTTCTACTTATTGCTCATGTTAGCTGATTTTGCCTCAAATTACGCTTTGAAATATCGTATGAAACATGTAATCTGAAGGAAAATTCAATGTTCCTTAACTACCTACAGTTCAAGAACTTCTCCTATTGCTCATGTTAGCTCACTTTAAATAATCTTATGCTCTGAAACTGGAAAAAAAATAAATCGAAAGGAAAATTGAATTATTCTCACTCACTGGCTTCCCAGCTGAATTTATTGCTCATACTAGCTCATTATCGGTGATATTCACCTTTCTGGAATCGTGGCCTAGTTTTACAAATGAATATTCCGACCAAAAACCCAACTTCTCGAACCGAGACCAAAATCTGCAGTTTAAACATCAAAAAACCTCATTTTTTTCACTCTAAAGCTTAAACTATTTACTGAGTCAACGTCAGGCTCCAGCCGACCGTTGCAAACTTCTTTTTTTTCCTACTCCGGAGCCTCATTTGAGTGGGCTGACGTCTCCTTTTGCAAATGATGACTTGGCTCATCCAAATAAGGCCAACGCCAAAGTGCCTTGATCAGAACGGGAATTGGACGGACAGCACGTTTTCGTGTACTTGGAAAGTGTAGTTTGATGAGTAACCGGATAATTATGAGCTAACATGAGCCGTAAAAGTCCCCTAATGAACTAGTAACAAGAATAAAAAGCGAGAAAAGCTCCATTTTTCCCTATAAATCCGAAAAATACTTGATAATTATATTTAACTCAAAGAGCCATTGATTGAAGTAGCAAGGTCTCTATTTGGAAAACTAGGCCTTGGATCAAATTTTGTGTTTCCAGGCCGCCTACAGAAACGTATCAAGGATCCTTCCATCTTCAATTGAATAAATATACGTTTTTTTTTTTGAAGTTTGATTTCACAAAATCTTCCCTCGACTTGACGGCCTAACTTTCCTAATATACAATTATCATTTGTGTTTCCAGGCCGTCTACTGAATTCGAGCACTGAACCTTCCCAAGAAAAATATAAAACTAGAAAATTTCCAAGGATTTGGTTTATAACCTCAACTTGATGGCCTAACTTTCCAAACTTTTCAACAAGTTGTCTTTTTGTGATTCCAGGCCGTTAACTTTACTGGAAGGCCTAACTTTCCAAATTTCTTCTTCCCGACAGTCTTTTTGCGTCTCCAGGCCATTCATGGAATTTTGTCAGAAAGCTTTTGCACTATCGAAAATGGATAGGAAGTTTCCTGACGACCTAGTTTACCAAAATCCAACGGCCTAACTTTCCAAGTATTTTTTAGTAATTCCAGGCCACGTCCATCAAGCCGTCTGCATCGACAAAGTGACCATCCGGAACCGAGAAAAAAAGAATCCCACGAGAGAAGGACCCAAAAATAAACCTTGGGCAAGACGGCCCGAAATCTCATTTGGGGCGAGAGGAAAAGTGCGAAAATCTTCTTGAAGCCGTCTCCAAAGCAAATGCAATTTCGCCGTGTGGCGCAGGGAAGAAAAACTGAACGTTCTCGAGAAGCTTCTGGCCCAACGAGGAATCCGTTGGATTTATTCATGCGGAATCCGAATAAAAATTCGCAAATAACCTTAATTTGACCTAAAAATATTGACTTTGACTTGAGACACGCAAAGTTGACGTCGTTCGAGAATAAGAAAGGTGGGAAAAAATAGTAAGAACGTCAAGTTGAGGGCTACTGGACGTAGCCTAAATTTCCCAAAGCCGAAGTTTGGATATTTCGACCTTTGTCCAAAAAATGAACTTTTTATTGATCTATGAAGACTTTTTGTAGCAAATTGAAGTTATAGTCAAAATCATGAAAAAATACATAAAAATTCAGATTCTTCAGCTGCGGCCTAGTTCTCCAAAAATTGCTGACCTACTTTTCCAAATTGCGAAAGTTAGGCCATGAACTTTTTTCTAAATTTAGAATTTTTTTTTGCCAGATTCTTTATATGTCCAATAGCCGTTTTGAAAAACACATCCGTGTGAAAGACTGAAAAAAATGCCGGTGACCTAAATATCCAAATTACGAAAGTTAGGCCTCTACATTTTTTTCGTAAAAAAATTTGAATTTTTTTATTTCTTTTTAACTAAATGTCTTGCGTTCTCGATGTCTTATCATTTTTCAAGATTTATTCAAAGGTTGAAAAATTCCTTCTAGCTGACTTCCCCGGTTACAAAAAGTAGCCCCCCTGTTTGATTTTGAAGCCTTCTGACCGGGATTTCGCCTCAAAGGTTTTTTTGACCCCTCTAAAAAAATTGGGGAGAAAACCTGGGTTGCGGGAAAAGGTTTTTGGGGACAACTCAAAAAAAAGGCGAGAATCGTGTCGAATGTTGCGTGCTGACTCGCATAATAAATGCAGTAATGAGGGAAGTTGCACGCGTTCCAGACCGAATCGGAAAAAAAGGGTGAAAATTGACCGAAACGCATGAGTTTCCTGTTTGGGGTTGGATATTAATAGATTTCTCGCGGTCCTTCATATGCGCCTGACCAGAAACAGTTTTCGCGGTAGCATATGCAAAAGTTCAAGGAGAAGGGGAAAAAAATTAACGGAAATATAGGAATTCTCTGTACAAGCTATTCATAGAAAATTGATAAAAGACAGTGCTATTTTTTGTTTGCAACCGACCAGAACCGGTTCACGCACTAGCGTATCGAGATATCCAAAAATGAAGTGGGAAACTATCTAGATGAATCATATACATACCGATTCTCATTTAAGAATATAAAAAAGAAGGATTTCCAAGTGCGCCCGACCAGAAACGGTTGACGCGGTAGCTCAAGCAAAAGTTAAGAGACGAGAGAAAATTGTGAGAAAGGATCTTATAATTATACAAATCATAGTTTGAAGGTACAAAAGTTCCTATGCAGCTATTTTTCACACCCAATTTTCTTTATCATTGGAGCACATAATCCCCTCCTACGCGGCTATTCTCATCACCTTTTCCAGCTCAAAAAATATAGAAAAAGAAGCCTCGAAAAATGAAAAAAAAAACATACAATGAGGTCCGCGACAGCTAGAGAGAAGATCAAGTAGTACTGCGGCCGACCGCGGAGGTCCCTTTCGATGAAAATCGCGACGATAACGAAGACGTTGCCGATGACGCAGGCCAGGATCAAAAGAAGCAAGACGGAGGCCAAGATAACGGTCTGAAAATGCCGATTTCGATTTTTTAACTCTCCGTGGAGCATACAAGTCAGAAAAATTAAATATTGCTCAAAAATTGATAATTAGATGACTTTACTGCTCCAAGGAGATTCCAAATTGGTGATATTATCCGTTATTTGATCCAATTATTTCTGATGCAACTACTCGGACATTGGAAAGGCAAGTAATGCTTACGCCCCTCAAGTGGTCACTAGAAGTCTCTAGAAAGTGTCGTGTGGGGTTACCGTTACCGAGATTTGAGTACTAACTTATCGACTTTTTTTATTTCTCCCTGGAGCATAAAAGCCAGAAAAGCAAATATTGCTCAAAAATTGATCCCTAGATGACTTTACTACCAGAAGATTTCAATTTGCGGATATTGTTCACTATTTGATTCGATGAATTCTTGCGCATCCTGATACAATTACTCGGACCTTGGAAAGGCAAATAATGCTAACGCCCCTAGAGTGATCACTAGAAGTGCCTGGAAAGTTTGAGACGTGTGAGGTCACCGTTACCGAGGTCCGAGTACTAACTTATCGATTTTTTAAATTTCTCCTTGGAGCGTAAAAGCCAGAAAATCAAGTATTGTTATTAGATGACTTCACTGCTTCCAGAAGATTCCAAATTTCTGATATTTTACAATAATTCAATAATTTCTGTTGAGTCTTGATAATTGTTGGTTTCTCCGTGGAGCGCAGAAGTTGGTAAAATCAAATTCCGCTCGAAAATTGATTTTAGATGACTTTAGTGCTCCTAGCAGATTCCAAGTCCATATTATTCAATATATAATTGATTTCTTGGCGTCTCTTGATAGTTTTTTGGTTTCTCCGTGGAGCGCAAATGTCGTAAAAATCAAATTTCACTCAAAATAACCTTATTGAAGTCTGAATGGATATTTAAAACTGTGTTTTAAAAATTTACACTGATTTTTTATTTTATTTTCAAATCCCCATTAAAGAAAATTTCCAAGCCTTTATATTCATTACTAATAAAGGATACTCTCAACTTTCTTTTTTACAATCCCAACAAAAACATATTTCCAACCTCCAACAAGGGCCTGTCGTCGCCGGAGAACTGCTCATCGGTTCCAAGGGCCTTCTCCAACACGCTCGACACGTTGTTCAGCAACATTGATCATTCAGCTTTCCGACATTTCACCTTCTTCTCTCTGAAATGTTTTCAAAATTTTTTTGGTCGCATTTGGAATGGTTAGACGCGTCGCGGTTTTATACATCTCTTAACTGAATTTCACTGTTTCAGAGCCGATTTTAGAAGGTAAAAAGTCTCGAAGGAGCAGTATTTCTTTAGATCTTCTTTTTACAAGTTTTGATAGCTGTCTTAGCGTAAGTCGTTTCAAGGTCCGGCAGAACGAAGAACGAAAAATCGGGCCTTTTCAAATCCGGCCATAGGAGTTTGTAAAAAAACGCGAAAAACCTCGGACAAAAAATACTTTTCCAATGGTTGAGGTGGAACAAAAATGATGGTAAAGCTCGAAATAAGAAATTCGAGTCAAAATTTTGACCTCAAAGCGAAAATGGAGGTTTTCTGAATCTCAAAAATAAAAAAAAATAGAAAAATTTGATTCAAAACTGTTCGAATTTGGCTGATAAAACTAAATTTGAGAGTTAAAACTGTTGAAAAATTACTTCAGAAATTCCTTTTGGAAAAAAATAATTCAAACCTTCGAAAAACGTAATTTTCTCATGGACCATCAGAAAAGCTCAAAAAAATTAACCGAGAAAAAAACCCGAAAGTTTTATGTTTGTTGTTGAAAAAAATCCATAAAAATTCGGTCCCGAAACGATAAATGGGTGTAGCCGCGAAAATCACGTTTTCGAAATTTATGAAAGTTTTTATATTTTTTTGAAAAAAATTTTGCACAAAATTTAAAAAAAGGGCCGAGGTCACTTAAAAATCTAGAGAGTGTGTGAAAAACGGAGAGCAGCAGAAAAAAAAGACAGTACAGAAAAAGAGGAGAGTTCCAGACTTTGAGGAATTCTAGATATTTCTATTACAAGTTCCAGAATTAATCGAAAAGCTAGAGAGCATAGAAAAATCAGAGAGGTGCAGAGAAAAAAAGAAAATTCAAAATTTTCCCTTCCTTCTGATCAAAAATGGGTAAAGTACAAGAGAAACTATAGACTATGGAAAAAGAGGAGAGTGCCAGACGGTTTCAACTAGAGACTATGCAAAAAATAGAGAGTGCCATAGATTAAAAAAAAACTTTTTAGCCAAATATCACTTCTACTTCCCTTTTCAGCCATTTAATGGGATAAGGAAGGACAAAAAGCGAGAGATCATGGAAGAATCAGAGAGTGCCAGACATTAAAGATGGCTACATTCTAATCCCCTTTCAAACCTTTAAAAGGAGATAAAATCCGAGAAAAAGAAATAAAAGGGGCATGTGAATGACAGGGAGGCCGTCAAGACGATTATCCATCTATTTTCCAAGCTTTTTTCTTACTTTTCCTGCAAAAAATCATGTAGCTATCGCGAAAAAGTCATGGTTAGGCGAAAGTCGTTTTGAAGTCGGGCGCAAAGAAAAAGTTAATGAAAATGATGATTTAGAGCGGTTTCTTTGGAGTAAAATGTTATTTTTGAAAAAAAGGAGGAGCAACGCTTCTTTTCAATGTTTTTCACTAATTAGTCCTCCGTAAAATACTAATTGGGTAGGTGACTTTTCTGTTTCAAAGCTCAAATATCATTTGAATTGAACTCATTTGTTGATTACATATGAATCGTGGGTGGAAAAAGTCAATAAAAATTATGATTTTCCAAAAAAATTTTGAGTCCTTGAAAAATCTACTTTTGTTAAACTCAGGCGTATGAAACAAAAAGGAAAAACAATTGAAAAATTACGATTTCAAGGGATTTCTTCAGTGATTTTTTTATTTAAAAAAACAATCCAAAAAATTTTTTTTTGATCGATTTTTTTCAGTCAAAAACTCCACTTTTCCAATCTAAAAAAATTCCGGATTTTTCAAAAACGTCTTGATCAAACTATAAACAGAAACCCCGCATATTCATAATAAAAAGTTCAAAAAAGGGCCACTAATCTCGCTCTTTTGATGAAAGGAAAAAGGCCTTCTGAAAAAAAAAGAGGGGGCTGTTAAAATGGGAAGAGGACGTCCGTTTTTAATCAAACAACGCGTCGAGACAGCTTTTCAGTTCTTTTTGCTGCTTTTCAACAATGAATGGGCCAAAAATTGGGCTGAAATGGATATGAGGAAGTGATTTTTTTGATTTTGAAACTGAAAAACAGATTTAAAAAATTAAAATTTGAAAAAAACAAGCAGATTCAGATAATTTTTGAGTTAGAAAAGACATAGGAAAGGTAATTCAAACCGAGAGTTTTTTTTATCAATAGCGCACAATTTCCTCCAATATTAAGCCGAGAAAAAAAATTAAGCACAAAAAATCAAACCGAAAATTTTTCCAGTAAAACTTCCTGTTGAAAAACAGACTTCAAAGACTCAATAACTTTCCAAAATCAGAGAAAAAAATCAAAACGAGAATGAAGAGCAGTCGTTGGCTGTTGAGTGCCGCCTTTTGGTGCAATCCAGATGAGAAGTGGGCGTGGTTTCGACGCCAAAAATGGGCGTGGCTTGGGGGCCGTGAGAGAGAGTCAAATGCAATGGATAAAGTAAGATGGGCGTGGCTTGGAAAGATGAAAGGTTTGGATCAAGTTTGTGTTTTTTTGGTTTTGGAGCAAGTATCTGAAAAAAATTTTATTTTTCTATAAAAAAATTGAAATTTCGTTTTTATTATCAATGGAGCGCAAAAAGCTTTAATTTTTTTCAAAGTAAAAAAATTAAATTTTTTTGAAAAGCTAGTTTTTCAATTTTTGATCTTTAAGAAGCTGAAAAAAAGTGATATTTTCTGAAAAAAAGCGAAAAAAACCTTTTTTCAAGAAAAATTTTCAAAATTACATCTAAAAAAATCCATAGAGAAAAGTGAAAAAGCCAAAAAAAGATCAACTTTTCAAAAAGTTATCTTGAAACGATCTCATCAAATTATTTTTACTGAGACTTACTCTATAAAAAGATTCCGAAAACTAATTTTCAAACCCCTCAAAAATAATCGTATCAAAAAAATCGAGCCAAAAATACAAACCACAAAAAAAAAATGAAAAAATCCAAGTTTCGAGACGAAAAAACTTCCGCGCGCCAAAGCCTCAATAACTAATGAGAATAATTGAAAAGCAGGTGGAAATGTACGTTTTTTTCCAGGTTCCAAAATATGGATATGTGTTCACTTTTTTGATGAAAAAATGTCAAAAGAAGCTAGTTTGAATTCGTACTTTCGTACTTTCTGAATTTGAAATGAGAAACTGAAAATTTTTTTAGGAATATAGAAAAAAATAAGAATAGATACAACAGAATTTTCCAGCTTAAAAAGGCTCCCTCGAGTAAAGTAGAAGGTCACAAAATAGCGTAAAAGTGATCACTTAAGTGGCCTTCAACAAACAAAAAAACATTTTCCTTGATCTCATCTCTTATCAAATTTTTTTAAATGAGACTGGGCTTTTTTGAGAAAATTAAGCTCGATTTAGAGTGAAATTACCAAAAATATCTCGAACCAATGCAAAAATATGTCAAAAATATCCTAATAAACCTGCAAAAAAAGGAAACTTTTCTCAAGACCTCGAAAAGATGTTTCAGAAGAGGAAAACGAGCTCTTCCAGAAAAAAGAAGGGCGGAAACGATAAACGGAACCAAATTACCCGGTTGGACTCGACAATGCAATTGGCGCCGTCGTGTGACTGACCAACAGCGACGAAAAAAGTGGAGAAACTTGTTAGAAATTCAGGAAAATGCGAGTACTCGAGTTTATGAGCCTAAATTGGTACGGGTACTTCAAAAAAAAACTACTCGAAATTATGTGAGAGACCGAAAATCTTTAATAGAACACTATTATAAATGAGAAAAGCTTGAAATGAAAATGGCAAAAACGCTTATGGAGATATAGGGAATTGAACCCCAGACCTCTCCCATGCTAAGGGAGCGCTCTACCACTGAGCTATATCCCCAAGTGACGGCCAACGGCGTCAGACGCCGCTATCTTTCCTCTTCCTTCAATAGAAACATTGAAGAAGATCAAATCTAAAAAGAAAAACGTTTTTCATACGATTAAAAGCGATTTAGAGTTTCGGAAAAGCGATAAAAACACGGAGAACGAGCAAAAGCTGTTGTTTATTTCGAGGTGATTCAATTGAAAAACGATTGAGTTATGTTTCGAAATTGGATTTCGCGGACACTTTCCGTTGGCAAAAAATAAATTCATGAATTTGTTCTCAAGACAAAAACAGCAGAAGCCAAAAAATAAGGAACCGACCGAAAAATGCCGGGTTTGCGTCTTCAATTAGTTTAAAAAAAGAGGTGTTCAAAGTGAAAATTATCGAAAAAAGAAGTGTTTTTGTATGATTTTTGTTTTCAAAACAACAAAAAAGAAAGAATAAAAAGATGAAATATATGATTAGAAGAGTGACGAGAAGACGAGAAGTAACAAAAATTGAATTTTTGGTCAGGATACTTGTAAAGTTTTGAAATCTCTGTAGCAGAATGGTAAATAATAATGTAGAAAGGGAATATTAAAAATGAAAGTTCATTTCAAACAGTATATCTTTCAAGCATTCCTCCAGGAAGAAGGATAGCGGCGTCCAGTGCGGATGACCATCACTTGGGGATATAGCTCAGTGGTAGAGCGCTCCCTTAGCATGGGAGAGGTCTGGGGTTCAATTCCCTATATCTCCAAAAGCGTTTTTGCCATTTTCATTCCAAGTTTTTTTCTCATCTTTATCAACGTTCTCTTATTGAATATATTCTCCTTTTTTCGTTTTTAATAACCTTTTCAATGGCTTTTCAGGAAAAAAGTCCTTCAACTTCATATCAAAAGCTAGATAAGCTTTGATTAATAGAAGGATTGATGAAAATTGAGAAAAAAGTAAAGTTTTTATGGAAAAATACACATCATTGGAGAAAAAAAATTGAGAAAAAAGCCGGAAATTCGGCGCCTACTCGCCGGAAGTCTTGTATTTCCAAAATAAGAGCTTTTCTAGGAAAAAGGATATTTTTATGTACAAGAATATTAGAAGATGACTCAACGGTGCTCAAAAATAAATTTTTTTTCGAGACGATTCTTCAAAAAAATAGAGTGAGCCATTCCAAGTGCGACCAACAAAATCTTATTTTTCCGAAAAAAAACTTCGCCCTTTTGAACCTCAAAACCAAGTGCAATGCAATTTTCGAAAAAGCGCGAAAACAAAAAGTTTTCTGCTCAGAATTTCAAAAAGTTGATAGAATTCCGAATGGCGGACGGAAAACAACCCATCAAACGCAGGAGAAGGTCAAAATCCCGAGTTTTGGATAGGGGAAAAATTTGAAGATTCAAAAGAAGTTGCAGTTTTGAAAAAATTCGGTTTTTTTCTCCAATTTTTGAATTTTTTTGAAGAAGAATTTCTATGGAGCGCAAGAAATTGGGTAAGGAACCAATTTTTTTATTTTTTTCGAGTCTTTTCAAGTTTAGAAATTAGAGATATGAACTTCTAGACGGTTTTCTAGTTGAAAGTCGAACGCAAAACTTGAAAAATGAACGGAAAATCAAAAATGAACTTTTTCCCCAAAGAAAAGTGCTTTTAATTTTCCTAAAAACTGGGAAAAATTTCAATCTTCAAAAATTGCTATTATAAGATAGTCTAGAGCCTTCGATCAAACAGGATTAATTAGGTTCGAGGATTATTATTCTTCTTCCAGTAAAAAAATAATTTTCGAAATTCGACATCCCCTTAAATATTTTATCACTTGAAAAAAATACTCGGAAAATCAAAAAATTGACCTTTTTCAGAAACTTTTATGAGTTTCAAAAAGTTGAAAGCTTCAAAAAACTATAACCTACGCGTTATCTCTCCTTATTGAGAGCTTCAGAAGAACTTTGGTCACATTTGGAATGGCATGACTCTGCGACCGACTCGAAACGACTTACGCCTTAGGACACCCATTATCAAGCCATTCCAAATGCGACCACGGCGTTTCAAGTCAAGAAAATGGAGCAAAGCCAACTTTCATAAAAATAAAGATCTTTTTTTTTCTATTTTCCATCCGAAAAAAATCATAAGCATTCCAAAAAAGCACCCCCGTTTCCACCTGTTTTCAATTTTCCGACCAACCGACAACAACTTTTTTTTCTTTTTTCTAATATTTGCCGCTCCAATTACGATTGGAGTGACATGTTATGGGGTTGTTGTAAATCCAAAAACTTGACATTCTCATAATTAATCCGGCATTTTATGGCTCATTCAGGAGAGAAATCACCTGAAAAACTGGAAATTGGCGTGATTTGACGGGGGAAAAACTTGGACAAGTCAGAAAAAATATTCAGGAGGGGTTGAAACTCTGAGAAAATTGTCTAATTGGTCAATGTTAATAAAATTAGGCCGGGTTGATTTTTGAGAAAGCTTTTATAAGACTAGTTGATGTTCTCAAATTGATAGAAGCGGTCTGAAAATACAGTAAACCAGTCAAAATTTTGAAAGAATCCCTATAACTGAGGACCCAAAAATCTAAAAAAAGCATCTTAAAAATCTATACAAGAAATTTGAAAGTACAGTAATCAAAAAAATTGTAAAAAAATCGATCAAAAAAATTCGAAAAATAACTCTCAAAACTGTCAATTGGGTGCTTCAAAGTCCGAAAAAAGATACCGAAAAACCATTTGGAATGATTTTTTCTCAATCAATTTTTTCTTTTTCATCTTCAGATCCGAAAAAGCCTCTCAAATTTGATCAAAAGTAATCTGAAAATACAGTAACGCAATCACAGTATGGAAAAAGTCGCTCTAACGGCATATGTTCAAAATGATCGAAAAATCCAAAAAACACTCACAAAACTGTCTATGGGATGCTTCGAAATGCCGAAAAATCCGAACAAAAAAGGTACAAAATTTCTTGAAATTTTCTTCTCTAAATTTTTTTTAAACCCCAAAAACCCTTTCAAATTTGATCAAAAGTGATCAGAAAATACAGTAACCCAGCCACAGTATGGAAAAAGTCGATCTAACGGCACAAGGTGAAAAAAAACATCCAAAAATCCTCAAAACCGTCCATAGCGCCAAAAAACCCCAACAAAAAAGGTACCGAAAAGGCCGTAAATCAATCAAAGCCCAACGAAAAAAGTCCGCATTCTCGCGCGGGAACAAAAAAAGGAATGAAATAACCAAAGAAAAAAAAGGCGTTGGTGGGGGATTTGCTCGTTTATACGCATGTATCCGATGGTTTTTCGGGTGAATTATTTATCGCCTTCCAGGCCGCCGCCAGGCCGGGTGCCAAGAATCTCGGCAAATTTCCATCTATTTTTTTTTTCCTTCTTCTATGTTGTTTGTTCCTACCGGAAGAAGGATCACTTGAGGGGTCATTTTTTGGTAGAAAATTGAAGAGTACGGTTAAAAGGCGGAGCTAAGCCGAGTCGCAAAAAATCGGTGATTTCACTGAAAATTTAATTTTTTCTTCTGACTTTTCAGAAGATAGGATGCTACTTGAGATCACAACCAAAAATGCGAAGAAAGTGGGAGGAGCCTAGTTTAGCCGCGTCGCAAAAGTTTTGGTGACTTGGCTGAAGATATGATGGTTTTTTCGGATTTCTGAGAGACAAAAAAAGGTCAAAAAGTCAAAAAAAGTGGGAGGAGCCTAGTTTAGCCGAGTCGCAAAAAAGTGAAGTGACCCGGCTAAATTTTTAATTTTCTTTTGGCGTTTTAGAAGATAGAAACATGCTAATCATATCCTAACCATAAATGCGAAAAAGTGGGCGGAGTCTAGTTTAGCCGCGTCGCAGAAGGCTTGGTGACTTGGCTATCAACCTGACGGTTTTTCGGGGAAACAGCTTCAATCAGAAGTCCCAAATCACAAAAAGAGGGCGGAGCCTAGTTTAGCCGAGTCACGAGAAAGTTAGGTGACTCGGCTAAATATCGATTTTCTGACTTTGATCTTTTTTTCGAGATTAAAACAAGCATATCCAGATCATAACCAGAAAGCGAAAAAAAGTGGGCGGAGTCTATTTAGCCGCGTCGCAGAAGGCTAGGTGACTTTGCTAAAGATTTGACGGTTTTTCGGATTTCTGAGAGACATTCTTTAAACAAAAAGCCAAGTCAAAAAGTGGGCGGAGCCTAGTTTAGCCGCGTCACAAGAAGAAAGTTTGGTGACTCGGCTAAAAATTCGATTTTTGGTGTTCGATTGATAGTTTGTTCCTCTCATATTTGTTTTCTTTCAGTTTGGTTCACAAAAAAAGTAAGCGGAGCTTCAGATAGCCGAGTCGCAAAGTCCGTGCGACTCGGCTGAAATTTTTGACCAAAATTTCAAATATTTAAACTTCTAAGATAGAAAAAACTGACAGAACGATCTCAGAGCCGAAATGAAATAATGGGCGGAGCTTAAGAAAATCGTGCGACTTGGCTGTGAGAATGAGCCGAGCAGTTACATACAAAACCGACCCAAACTTTCCAAAAGTGGGCGTGGCCTATAATGCGCGACTCGGCAACCCAGCAGGAAGTTACTTCGATGATCTATGGATGGGTTGGGAATCGGCTCTCTGGGGAAGATCCATCCGAGTCATACGAAAAAAAGGAGGCGTGGCTAGACAGCCGCGTCGCGCGCGACTCGGCTAACGTTTATTTGATCATCAATTAGGTGGAAGTTTGCAGGAAAAAAAAAATGAGAAAACAACTTTTTTTTGATTTAGTGGGAAAAAAGGTTCAAAAGGAAATTTTCAAGGTTTAGGCCAAAAAATTTAGAAGGAGTCCTAGAAAAAACCAATTTTCTGCGTTCTGTTCATTTTCAGCCGAATTTGCAAATGTTTATAGGTTTTTATGTGAATTTCTATTAAAATAAAAAATCAATAATCGTAAATTTTATAAATTCGCCATAGAGCGCAGAACACATTTCTCCGCGCGGCTATTTTTTCGTAAGTCTTTTTTCACAATTTTTACGCTTCCAATACTTTTCTCTGGTGTTTTATTTTCTCCTACTTCTTTTCAATCTCCATCCAATCCACCAAAAGTGGGATCCTCTGTTTTTGCTCAAAAAAAAGTTAACGATCCTTCAAGATTTTGATTTGATTAAATTGGATTTGTTTTTCTCGAGATTGGCTTTCAGAGAACAGATTAGAATCCTAAATTTACTAAAAGCATCTGTTCGAGATTTAAAAGCGTCCGATCCCGCAAACGTTTTATTCAAGATTGAGAAGAAAAAATTGAAAAAATACGATAAAAAAGACGAAATTTAGAGATTATCATTATAAAACGCGCTCTAATAAATAAAACCTCTGATTCGCTGGCCACGCCCATTTTTCCCTTAGAGCTGGTTATGAACAGACTTTAAGCAGAAAAACTTAACACCATTAGAACAAGACAGATTTTTTTGCTCCGCACAAGAAAGATGAATCAAGAAGCTGACTAATAAGACGTCCAATTAGCTTATTACCGCGAAAACATATCATTGGAAAAGGAGAAGAAGATCAAAAAAACGTAGACAGAAAATAGGAACGAATCGTCAAAAAGAAGGCATAAGAAGAATCCGGAAATTTGACCGGAAAAAGCCGCAACGCCTGCTTTTTTTTTTTGATTTTGCCTTCCCAAGAAATGGAAATCTGAAAAAACTGCTTCCGCGGAATGTTGATAGGCTATGTCGGCGTCATAACTCGTTTTGTCTTTTTGTTTATTTTTGGAGCATTACTCGGTATTATTGTCGAGAAGCTGAAAATATCCAAAAAAAGATTTGATCTAAGAAAAAATGGCTAAAAATTGATATCTGGACAAAATAGCTGTTTAAAGAGAACTCAAGTGCGCTCTACTGATAATTAGGAATCAGTTTTTTTTTACACCAAAACTGCTATGTTTTCACCAACTGAAAAGCTTCAAAAATGAGAGTTATAATCCAATTTTAAGAAATTGAAGAGAGATCTCTGAGAAAAACACCTGTAATTTCATGAAAAATGGCGTAAATAAGATAAAATTGAAGGCTTTTTCTGTTAAGTAAGGCTTCAGAGCAATAAAGACTAGAAGAAAAATGGGAAGATGGTTAGCCAAAACTTTCGGCGACGACAGGAGTCGAACCTGTGATTTTCTTGGTGATGAAGACTATCAGGTAGGGACCGCAGACCAATTTTCAAAAAATTTTTTTCAGCATTGAGCTTTGTATGGTTTGATAGCTGTTTCGATTCAAAAACTCAGAACCGTTTAGTTTTTTTCGAAAAAAAGATTGAGGATGAAAAAAAGTTATGACGAAAAAAATGTGGCGCGCCGCGCACCATTTTTTTAGTACTGAAATTTTTGGTATTATCCATTTTTGACATTTTTTTCTCGATTTTTTTCTTCTAGAACAAGTTTTGATACTGGTCTATTATGATGTAACAAATCATAATAGAGTGCTAAAATGATGCTCATCAGCTAGTTTGCCGAAAAAAAGTCGGTATTTTCCAGAAAAACAAAAAAACTGACGCTTGCGGGCATCGAACTCGCGACCTCAAAATGAAAAAAATCGCAGCGCACGCGCTGCGCCAAAGCTGTCAGGTCTAGCGAGGGGAGCTTCCATCCGCCTTACCCTTGAGCCGTTTAGATAGCACAGATTGCCTATTTCAAAAAAATAAAAAAACTTGAAGTAATTCAGCTATTTTTTTATCAGAATATGTTCGCAAATCTTTACTCAAACTTTCCGTGAAAAATTCACTTCGAAAAAAACTGTTTTTTTAGTGCTTTTTTTCCTCGTTTAACGATCGCTGCCTTAAAAACGGCCCCGTAAATTTTTTTGGCAAAGACGAATTTTTTTATTTTATTCTTTTTAATTGAAAGATTTTTTTCACTAATAAATGTATATAATCGTTTAAAAAAACCTGCGTTCGGCCGCTTTCTGTGTGATAAACGCCGCTAATTTTATTCTCTAGTTTCAAGAGCATTTTTTTGCGTATTAAACAACTATTTCAAGCACAGATACTGTGAAGAAAAAAATTTAAGTAAGGCCATGATCTAAATTTTTTTAAAAAAACAAAAAAACTTGATTATATTCGCTTATTAACGATATTTTGAATTATGACTTTCGGCGCTCCCTAAAATTTTTTTGGCAAAGACGAATTTTTTTTATTTTATTGTTTTAAAAATTTTCGTTACTTGAATCAAAAATCATTATTTAAAAAAAGAAAGAGTGCGTTCGACCTGAAAAACACATGAAAAAGCAAAAAAATGACAAAAATTTTTTTAGTTCCATTCACGTTTTTTTGTACGACATTCCGCGAGAACGCATCAAAAAAAGCGTGAAATATTTTTTTAAAACGAAAGAGGAAGCTTTTTCTGTACATGTGTGTCAAATTTTATTCGCCAGTTCCACATATTTTGCAACTACAACAAAATGAAAGTTGAAAACCAAAAAAAAGCCACTTTTTCTATCGCGAAAAGGGGCGTGGCTTTGCGGTCCCTACTATCAGGTTTAACCGTTAGAAATCGATATTTTTCGATTCATGAAGCTTCTAGGCAATGAAAAAGAGCGAAATTCTTCAAGTTAAGCTCAGCAAAAATCTCTGACGACAATAGGAGTCGAACCTATGACTTTTAGATCATAAAGACTATCAGGTTTAACCGTTAGACATCAAAATTTACCGTTAGACATAAAATTGAGAGAAATAACGACTTATATAGCTTCTAGGCAATAAAAAAGGAGCATACTTTTAAAAAAGAGTCCAGCAAAAAAAGAAGATGAACCGGGGTGGGAATCTGACTAGTAATCTATAAACTGAAGGTCAATATCTTCAACCACTTGACTTCGAAACCGTTAAAATTAAAAAATATGCCGATTTGTAGAGCTACTAGACAGCAAAAAATGAATAAAACCTTTAAAACTGACATTAGCAAAAAAAGAAGGGGATGAACCTGGGTGGGAATCGAACTTATAAAAATTTTTTGGCCAAGACATTTAACCACTAGGGTGAGAAGTCACAGAACAATAAAATGGACTTTAAAAAAAGCAAAACAACAAAAAGAAACATTCCAATCAAGTGCAGTAAACAAGGATTTAAGGAATCGTTATCATAATATTTTAATTGACGGTCAAGATTTTTAACCACCCGACTAAACACCAAAGTTGAGTGATGTGAAGCTAAATAAGGCTTCTAAGCGACAAAGAGCAAAATAGAGCAAAGCAAAAATGTTTTTCTACAGGGTGGAATCGATCCTGTGACCCTGCGCCTGCCGGTCAAGACTGTCCACCACTCGACCAAATGGACACCAGACAGCTTCTTACGCGTTTTAGCACCGAATCCCTTCGGGCGGAGGCCGGCCTCTGCTCACATCATCCATTTAATTAAATCTCGGAGCCAAAGAAAACTTTTTCTTTTTGTTTTTCTCGCGCCTGATCTATTAACTTGTTTTCACCACGACGACCGCTGTTTTTCCAAACATTTTCTTTTTTTCGGCTTTTTGGCTGGGCCACACAGAGAATGGGGATTAAGGCTATTCTTTTCTTGCTCAAACAAAGAGAAAATGCGGTCGGTACGGTAGTTAAAAACCTCAATTTTGTAAGTTTTATGAGCCCAAAAGCGAGAGAAATTCGAAAAAATTCAAAAATGCACTGCAGCACCGAAAATCACCAGAAGAAGCTTCTTAATATCAAGCCGATTCATTTCAAAAGATGAATTTTATAGGGCTGCTCTTCGAAATTTTAATAGTTCAAAATGAACTCTTAACTATTTTTTTCTAACAGTTTTGAAACGTATTCAATGTGGGGGAAACCAGTGGACTGGATAAAGAATGAATGGATTACGTCAATTATAATTTATCGAAAAAACGTAGTTTTCTACACGCAATCCTCTCATTATAGTAAAAACCGAAATTCAAAGAAAAACCAGCTGTTTTCCTTGTTTTCCTACATAAATGGAGACCTTAAAAAATGAAAATTCAAACTAAAACTTAAAAATTGGGAACAAATAAAAATTATATCAACAGGGTTAAGAATTGAATTCAATCTTTAAAGTTGTCGGGAAAAAAAAATCAAAAGTTCCAAAAAATGTCCGGCAAAAACGGGGAGAGGAATCGAACCAGGAAGTGTTTGAATCAAGTTTAAAAAGTTGATCTATGCGTTGTTTCTTGAATTTTTTCCGTTTTAATCACTCTTTCCAGCATGAAAGCCATGGAAAAATCATCTGAAGTGGCGAAGGTAAACTCGAAGAAAATCAGCAAAAACGAGGAGAGGAATCGAACCAGGAAGCGTTTAAACGAGTCTTAGACGCTCCACCAGTTGAGCCATAAGTTGATTCTGAGTTTTTCAGTACAGGTTCTTGTTTTCAATCTGAAGAGCTATAGAGAAGCCGCTTGGAAGATACTAGATTTTGCAAAAAAAAAATCTGCAAAAACGAGGAGAAGAATCGAACCAGGAACCGTTTAGTTGAAGTTCATGAACTTGACGGCTAGATCATTTCATCTTTTTAGATAAAAATCAGCTTTCATCTGATTTCTTCGAGCTCGACAGAGAAACTTCAAAATCTTACAAAGGAGGATTTCAAAAAACAGCCGAAAAAGATGACTTCTGCGCTCCCACAGATAACCACTCCTATCTCCCAATTTCCTTCAAAATTGGTGGATCAAATCGCCAAAACAAGGCTCTAACAACACTTTTTAGAACA